AAAAACAACTCACCAACCCCCGCCACAAACCTCCCAACATACATAACCCCAAACTCCCCCTCCGCAGCAGCCTGCATCACCGCCCCCACCCCCGCCAACGCCGCCGCAACCATCATTCCCCATCTCCTCCCCCACCGATCCGCCACATACCCGGCTCCAATGGCCCCCAAAAAACAACCTGCTTGCAACGTCGACACAATATTCGCTTCGAGATTGGCTGATAAGGCGGGGTTTTCGGATGCCAGGGGTAAGTTGTAGGTTTTGCGGAAGGGGTCGAGTTTTAGGACGCCGCCGATTATTCCGGTGTCCATGCCGAAGAGCATGCCGCCGAAACAGGCCTGGGATTGGGGTGGTTAGGAGGGGAGGTGGTAAGGGGGGAAAGGGAGGGATGGGGATGGGGCTTACGCTTGCGCAGAGGACAAAGACTCGCCAGTTGTAGATTTCTTGAGGGTCATCTTTCATGGATTCGTTGCGGCTGGATAGTTGGGTTTTGGGTTGGAATATTCAGCGACTTTTTTTCTTTAAATCGTAGAGGCGAGGTGAGGCAAGGGAAGGGAAGGGAAGGTGGTATATATGACTTACACAATCTTTTCCAAGATACCCATGATGAACGATGACTGATGATAGTGATGATGAGAAGAGGAAGAGAAGAGGAGAATAGCTAGGTAAGCAGACAAGAGTAACTCAAGTCTACTAGATAGAAGTGTCTTCCCTTCTCTAAGAAAGAACAGAGATAGAGATAGAGGTAGAGGTGGAGGTGGAGGTGGAGAGAAAGAGAGAGAAGACAGGAATGCAATCCACAAAAGAAAAAAAAAACAAAAAGCCCCGAATAAGAAGGTAAGTAAGTATACCCTTTTCTGCACCACTCTCTTTCTTCCCTCCCTCTCTCTCCAGAGCTCAAGGTAAGCAAAACGGAAAGATGTGGTAAAACACTCCACAACTCCAGTCCGGTAAAAAAAAACGGTCCAGTCCGACCCGAAAACAGGAGAAGAAATTGAAGGATTATTGGCTTATGATGACCGGCCTAGCCTCTTCCCCGCCTCGCCTCGCCTCGCCCCGTCAGCTTTGTATGTAACGATGTATATATTGTATACTAACTACATGTAATGTACGCCAGACAGACAGACAGACAGTACGTCTTGGGGGGTAAAAAAACAAGCCGGAGGTGGAGTGTGGACGGTCAGTCAATTAGTGAGTCAGTCAGTGTGTGGACATCCGACGACGTAGAGTAGTACTTCTGTTTTGTCTATCTAGTTGGTGTCGGTGTCGATGTCTGTCTAGGTAAAGTACCGACTTGTGTAGCTGTGAATCAATATATTTTCTCCTCACCTATTGTCCCAAATTCAAGCTCTGAGACTGAGCCGCATCCGGTGGAGAGAGAGGCAGAGAAAGAGAAAGAGGGAGAAATGCGGAGGAACCTTGGGGTAAGGAATGTTGGGGTAATTGATTTGATTTACCTGCTGGTATTGTTTAATATAAAGGTATCGCCAGGGCTAAGGGCAGACCCCAAAATGTCTAGTCGCAGACCCCATTTCTGAGTCATCAAGTTATTACCGCACCCTTCCGCTGTAACCCTACCCCCCCCCCCCCAAAAACCAACGCTTCTCCTCTCGCAGCCTCGCGGCCCTCGCCTCGCTCAGGCCTCTGCTTTCTATACCTACCTCCTAGGAGTTTTCTTCCTAATAAATGCTTAATACCTCAGGGGCACCGAATACCTCGGGGGTACCGACCAGATTGCCCCCCCAACCCCCCAAGGGGGGCTAAGAATCGAGAGGGGTATCCTTCGGGGTGCAATGTGAAGTGAAGCCTACCTCTTAGGCAAAGAGCGAGTACATATCGTAAGGGTACGGTAATAACTTGATGACTCAGGAATGGGGTCTGCGACTAGACATTTTGGGGTCTGCCCTTAGCCCTGGCGTAAAGGTATGCATGTTGATCCAAGTTTTAGATCTGCATCTGCATCTGCCAATCTCTGCCAAGAGAGATTTTCCATCAATCAGATTGTATCGCGTGATACATGTAAGCTGTACAATGTATATATGTATACATCTCGCGTACAAGTAAGCCTTGCGTCGGTTAGATCCTGTGGGGATAATATATCGATTGGCGAGGAATGGTGCCCTGCTTTTGGAGTAGTATACAGTAGTGAGAGACTTTTGTACTAGGAGAGGGAGGTCTCCCCTAAGCATCTTTTTGATTGTTTGCGTCGGCCTTTTTTCCTATAGAGAGAGTTAGCACAAACCGAGGTCGAAAGATCCATGTATGCTCGAAGCGAAATGGCTAGGCGATCTTCGATTTATTCGTTTGTCGATATAGGTACTGTCCTGTAGGATGCTGAGTGAGAGTGAACGTCTCTCGTTCTTGTTAAACAATCCATGTCTGGCCTTGAGGTATATTTTTGAGTAGATGTATACTCTTCCCGACGCCTTTTACTACAATTCGTCGATATAGAGACTGCATTTCGGGGAATAGAAGGAGGAGGTTGACAGAAGGAGAGAGAGAGAGAAAAAAAGGAAGACGTCGTAAGAAGAAGGGAGGGAGGACCCGACTACATCAGCCGAAAAGATCTCCACAATCTTCAACTTTCGATCAAACACTATTATATTGTCTTCTCTTCTTATATACCTCACCTCTTCTACCTCTCCTCCCTCTCCCACTCATTCTTTCTATCCAGCTATACATCCTCCCCTCAAATCCATCCCCCCCACTAGGACGAATGACACAAAAAGAAAAAAATCTCACGAACAATTCGCCGCCTCCGTCTCAGCCCGTCCATCCGTAGGAAGGCCAAAGAAAATACATCCATTGCTATTAACCAGACAAGGATTCGACTGCAGAATGTCATCAGTTAGTCTATGTTAAAAAAAAGAGGAAAGAGAAAAAGAAGAAAAAGAAGAAAAAGAAAAACGGGAGAGAAAAAAAACTAACCTTGTAACATTTACTCCTCCTCACCAACTCTCCATCTTGATTCCATCCTTGACACATTCCATCGGCTTTGTTACAGCGCTAGAGACGAAAAAGAAAAAAAAAAGGCAATTAGTAGTGGTCTTTTCTTTTCTTCTTTTTCTAGTGCTCTTTTCTTCGGTACATATGGGTAGAGGATGGGGGATAAATTTACAGATTGAGTAATTCTCAAATCCCCTCTCGCGGGTGTAGGTGTGGCAGCGGCGTGAACAGACAACAATGTCGTTGAAATTGTACCGAGGAGGAGGAGGAGAGAAGAAGGGGTGAGGAATTGCATGATTTTGGATCGATTGATGAGAGTTGGGTTCGCTTCGATCGATCGAGAGAGTAGTTGGTTGATTGGTGAGGGAAAAGAAGTAGAATAGATGAATACTCAGAGAGACAGACAGATAGACAGACTAAGAAGGAATCCGAGATTCTATACTACAACTCGTACCTCTATCTATCCCGTCATTTCTTTAGTACGCTTTCCGAGACAGGAACACGAAACCAAGTGCTTATATTCGCTAGATGATAATGGTAAGTAGTCAGTAGTAGTACTACTACTAGAACTACTAGAAGAACTACTAAAACTAGTAGTAGCACGGTGGCAGCATGGGAGATGCTGATGCTAATGAAGATCCGATCCAATCCTCTTGATATATGTATGTATTTCCCGGAGGAGGAAGTGAAGGAACCAAGAAGGAAGACACGGTAGAAATAGAGAAAAAAGCAAAACCTCCATTCATTCCAAAAAGATAGAAAGAAAGAAAGAAAGAAAAAGAAAAGAGAAAAGAGAAAAGAGAAGAGAAACCCGTGGTTCCACAATACCTACCTCCCACTGCCCCAGTACCTCCCAGTAAGGTATCTTGTCTTTGTCTCTTGTCTTGGCTTTCATACCTCTCTCCTACCGACATACCGACCGATCCCGACCGATATTCTGCCTTTGGTTAGCTCTTACATACATGGACCTATTCTCTAGGACGGTACTCTCGGTAGAACTAGATAAAATACAAAATACAAAATACGGATACTATGTAAATGTGAGGTAAGAAAATCTTGCTAAGCCTTTCTTCTTCTGCTTCTTTCTCGTATCGTTCAGTCTGGAGGTATATAAAATCTTCTTCCTTGTTCCTGCTCTTTCCTTCGTTTTCCTCCTCCTCCTCTGGCATATCGTAAAAAAAAAAAAGAAAAAAAAAAGATCGTGGAGGACGAATTGTCGTCTGTTTTGTCCTGTCTTCTCTGCCTCTTCGTCTTGTCTCCTCTTCCTCTTCCTCTTCGTCTTCTCTCATCTCCTCTCCCCATCTTCTCTCCTCTCCTTTCTTCATCGGGCGGAGGTATATATCCGTACCTATACCCATAGAGTCCATCCATCGTAGGCCAGGTCCAGATATGTAGGTAGGTAAGGTACCTTAGGTAGGTACCTTCCATCATCGGAAGAGCTTGTTTGTGGAGGAGAACTTCCTGATCCATGGCCTGTCAGGAGATGTCCAGGTTTGGTTTTCCCAATACATATCCTGGGGGAAGAAGGTGAATCACTACGCGTAGGAAGGAGGGAGGTCGTCGTTGGGGGCTTTTCGGTCGTATGCATGGGTTTCATCAACCTCTGTCTCCAGGCGGGCAGGCAGGCAGGCAGGCAGGTAAACCCAGGTTTTTATTGTTTGTAGTGACTCCTAATAGAACAAGTCAGTCAATTTTCCCGATTGCGAGGGAAACATAAGAGAGAGAGAGAGAGTTGGACGCACTTTTCCTTTCCCTCCACAATAGTCAAGCCGCGAGATTGTTGATAACCACACTTCCAATCCTCACGCAGTCCCCAACATCATCATCATCACTCATTCATTCATTCCTTCATCATCATCATATCATCCATTTCAAATCCTTTTTTCCTTTCTTTTTCTTTTTCAAAATTGTTTACTCCCCGCCCATCTCCGATGATGTCGAACCATTCTATGCTTCATCCTCACCAACGCACGATCCGGCGCAGTCCTCACCGAAGGCAAAGGTTTATCCAAAGGGGACGGTAAAGGTTTCTCCATCATGCTCGCCGAGTCGACGGCGATGACGGATTTGGCGTGATGGTGATGATTGTTGTTGTTGTTGTTGTTTTTGTGGTTGAGGTGATTGTGATTATTATTATTATCGTCATTCCACCATTCTTCAGCGCACATTTGCGGTGTAGTGCCCGTGCTTTTGATGATCATGTATTCGGAGTGATTTCGCGTTCGTCTGCCGCTTGAGAGGGATCTCCAATCTAGAAAGAGAGAAAAACACTTTGCTTAGTTTCTGGTAAACGGTCGTGGCGAGGGGAGATGCGGGCAAATTACCTTCGTCAATGTATTGCAATGGCCGTTTATGTGACGACCTATGTCCGGCGTCGAGACTGCTGCGTCCATAAATGCTCTTGGAATCTTTGCGAGTGTGATTCCACACTTTCTGGAATAGACCGGCCATTGGATCGGATCGGATTGGATATGTTTATGGTTATGGGGAACAGTTCTAAGGTAATAGGCGAAGAGGGGGCGACAACTCTGAAAATGAACGTTCCCACGAGCGACAAACAGACAGGCAAAACTTTCTTCTCACCATGAGGAAATGGTTGCGAAAGTCGTCCGACGACGACGACAAAACGAGATATATACCATCACTGCTGGAGCTGCATACGTTACCCTTTTCCCCCCTAGGGAGGTAGACCTTGGGGACCAATGCTTGCTTGCTTTTGCTCGCTGTCGCGAGTAAGCCTACCTCCTAGCGCGAAACATAAGCATACGAGAAACTTTAAACCGAGTCGAGCAGAAAAACAACACGTGAGATGTCCAAAACAATAAAAAGTCCGAACGAGTTGTTTGCTGTAAAGAAATGGACTCGGCTGAGTGTTTCATCGCCCCCCCAGTTGCGTCTTACCGTGCGTCTCCTATGCTGGTATACTCGAGTCAGACGAACAGCGAGGGCAAAAGTTGCGCGATGATACATTGCATTTCAGAGAGTATGTAGCAGGTAGCAGCAGGCTCGAGATGTGGCTGGAGTAATCAATGATGTGAGAATATGCTGTCGATGACTTCTTGATGTGGTAAGATAGCGATCTGGGAGATTCGCTCGCTGTGCGCAGCCATTGAAGGCGATATATTCCTTGTCAAAGTCGAGCACGGCAGCGACTGACGAGTCCTTTGATGAAGTGAGCGGTGTTAGTCGACGGGTACATAGGTAGCTGCGAGGGCGTTGCCCTTGGATGGAGTCGTACGCAGCTGTGGCCAATCGACTGAATGAAGCTTCGGTGATCTTGACTTTGGTAGGTTTGGGCTAACTCACGCGCGTGGAGACGAGAGCCACAACACATAGTCACGGCAGAACCACAGCATCAGCGGCGCTGAGACCCCATGCTGCTAGACCAGAGGAGGTTGTTCACCCTGTCGAACTGTTCAGATAGACTCAAGCTACCGATGATTCGTATGTAACTGCCGACATACCAATGACAATTGCACGTACCGTGACTATTTGCTCGGCAGCAATCGCGTCTACTGCAAAAGCTGCATTCCACTGCAATGTGTATGAATAGCGTTCGCTCCATGAGCTGAGAGACGATGTTGAGAGAGATTTTCTGTTGACTGCATGAACAAAGGAGAGATGCCGAGACTGGAGGGAAAGTAGAAAGTAATGCTGACTGTGGGGACAATGCCCGAGTTGCAATAAGATATCAGGCGTAGTTGCGAATACTCTCTCTCTCTCTCATCTATACACAATGCACGCACCACTCCGACTTCGATCGTGTCGACCTCAAGACTAGGAGTGCATGCACAAAGAGATATCATAGAAGCCTGTTAATTCTGCCTCGCCATATGGACAGATCTCGCCGGCATACAGCAAGCTCGCTGATTCCCCTGCAAGCCGCCGCTCTGAATGTGTCCTGCCACGTCCAGGATGGCGATACTGTTGATTGTTGCCACATTTGCTCAATGCGCCTCGTGCGCAGTTTCATTCATCAATCGTGGTGTCGTATAAAAAGGCGCTAATGCGTGGAAATAGAACGAACAAGAAGAGATAAGAGGACATCGCTCATCGCCTTCGCCCGGCTTCGAGGTCGCTGGCGGTGACGTTGACCTCTTCCACTGCACCATGCCCGGTCGGGCTCGCCCGAGGTCTTCTGCCGAAGCGTGGAAGAGATACCGTCGGTATGCGTGATCTCCATGTACGAGTGGTATGGGTGGCGTCCGCTGGAGGCTGCACAGGGGGAGCCCGCTGGACATCCCGTTCTCGTCGAGCACGTTCGAGCGCAGCAGGTGATGGGTGCCCCGTCCGGGCCGCATCGGATATAAAGATACGCGGATGGCCTGCGAACAACATGCGTGGTCGGAAGGGCATGCCATGGCGCCAGGTAGGAGGCGGTTCTGTCGGCAGAGCGCCGTTTCTGCCTCGACGTCCAGAAGTCGCCGTGGTGGTTTCTTCCTCCGGTCGGACCTTCGGCACATAGTAGTCGGCCTTGCACAGAGGACAGCATGCTCGTCTGCTGGTGAGCCACGGGTCCACACATGACCCATGGAAGGCATGCCCACAGGTCAAGCCGCGCACATCATCATCGTCGTCTAGAGTGTCTAGACAGATGGCGCACGTATCTCCCGGAGCCGCCAGCATCTCAGGTGGTGCTGCGGTGGCTATAGGGTCGTCCTCGTCCACCTCGTCCACTTCCGTCGCTGCCGAATTCGTCCTGTCCACGCTGTTCTTCCGCGCATGCTCCAACTCTTCAATGGTAGGCGTCTTCTCCTGAAAGTGATCCGTACTCGCAGCAGCTTCGGGCCTCGGCGCATCTGCAGTAGCACTCACCAGACTCTCCCGAGCCATACTCAATGCCGTCGGTGGGCTTGCCGTCTCAATGGATTGTTTGCCGAACGCATCGATGACGCCGTCCTCGTCCCGGAGACTGCCTGCTCGACTAGGAGGTGCAGTCACGCCGCCCTCTGCTGGAAGGCCTTGAGCTTCTCGTGAGGAACGCCATGTCTTATACTTAATGAGAGGGAAGCGCTCATTCACGTCCTCCATGGACATGAGCTTCTTCTCTTTCCGTCGTCGTCGTTGTCCAGGCATCTGCGCGAGATCGATGGGTTCGCCATTCTCGTTAAGGGCGCGGGCCTGACGGTTACGTTGGTTATATCTGAAGCAGTATTTTACGCCGACGATGATCCTGTGGGCAGCGACATGTGGTTAGCGTCTTGCGGAGATGTGCGTGGGAGAATCGCGGCGTCGGGCGGAATTCAGATCAGGAGAGGATAGCATACCATAGGTTGGTGAAGACGACGCCAAATCCTAATGCAACGAAGAACAGCAGCGGAGAGCTCGTAGGACCACCGCTGTGGTCTTGATTGGCACCGCCACCGGCGCTGTCCGTCGCGGTGGGGAGCGAGCTCGTGGTGGTGGTGGCCATGCCGTGGATCGTCCAGTGTGCGTAGTCACTGGTCAGGCAGAGACTCAATCAAGAGCGCCGCCAAGCGCAGTGACAGTGGTGGTTGTCTCGGTGAAAGCGAGCGGCGAGCGGAGCGGAGAGCAAGCAAGGTTGTTCGGTCTGGGCTGGGCTGGGCTGGGCTGCGCGCAGGTTTCAAGCAGGTGACATGGTTCTCGCTTGTGATGCGTGTTTATCGCCCGTCGAGATGCGGAGAAGCTGAGCAAGCACCGGAATCGACGAGAGTAGGCCGCTGGAAGCAGTTGTTCTGGCGCGAGAAAGGGTGGTAGATGTCTCGGGCAAGGGTAGAAATGGGGATTCTGGCAGTGGGATATGGAGGGCAGATGTACGGTGGTGGACAATGTGGTGGTGGCGGATCTTCGATGGGCGACAAGCGACGATGACCGCGGTCGATAGAAGGTTAGGCTATAGAAGTATGCTGCGCGCTGCCAAAGAAGTGGTGCACCGCGTGGCGTGGCTTCTTGGGCGGCTGAGAGGCTGAACACTAATGTAGTTGTAGTACCGGAGGTAGTAGTAGTAGTATCTTAGTTCAGGAGGTAGAAAGACAAGACGTCCACCCACTTGGGCCGAGGACCTTGGGGAAGTGTCTTTCTTTCTGTTTATTGAAGAGTTGTTGTAGTAGAGACAAAGCAAGTCTACCTTACAACAACAACAGCATCCAGAAAGCAAGCTGCCTTATCCTCGGTAGTTTTTGATTATTGTAGGGGGTGCAAGACGGCGAGAACGTGCCAACGTGGGGCTGGTTCACACTCTCTTCTATGCCATGCCTTGCCATGCCTTGCCTTGCCTAATCAACGCCGATCTATTCTTGCACGTCACCACCCTACACTCCGTACTCCTTCACTCACTTCACGAGAAGGTCAGGTAGAACCCTTTCAACATCCTCACCCCAAACAATGAATAATGAAAGAATCATTCACCTCCATCCTCGCCTGCCCGCCCATCCCTCCTACGTCTAGGCCTGCAATGTATCTATCTATAGTCCTTTCTCTCTCTTCCCTCTCATCACAATCAATCACTCATTATAATTCATTCACTCGCCTTCCATTCACACTCGGCAAATTCCTTCCGATCCCGCAATCCCGATCCAGCTCATCGCCGCACCTTAATTACGTGGCTGGCGGTACTCGGAGGTACCTACCTAGTGCCCGTAAGACCTGTTACCTGATTGAGCACAAGTGAGGTACCTCCCTCTCCCCAGTGGAGAGGGTAGTAGAAGGTAACGCGGGAGGAAGAGGAGGAGAAGGAAGAGGAGAAAGGTAGGCTAGGCTAGCTATCCGATTGCAGAATGGAAGCTTATCAAATACTGAGGTGTACCTACAGGTACCTACGCCATGGCTACCTCCTACCTACTAGGAGGTACATGTACCTAGGAGGTACTACTTATCACTAAACCCGATCCGACCTTTCTCTTTTTCTCAAATTCATCCCATCTATACAAATAAAAGATTTTGATCTGGACGAGGCTTGATGGCTTGATAGCATGACTAGGAGGTGATCTAGGTACCGAGAGACTAGGGCTGGTCACCTCCTACGAAGACTGCTGCCCCCCCAGATGAGAGCTACACGTACCTCCTAGGTGCCTTATTGGCCAAATATCCGCCAAGCAAACTGACGCGTAGAGAGCAGACTCAGCAGAGCGTGCACTCGTGACTCCGGAGGTTGTGAGTTGTGACATGCACATATACCTACCTGTACAACGTTGGTAGGTACAGCTTACCCGAAGAAGACCCGGCTGGGGACGACGTGGAGGTACCAGGTCAGGTAGGTCAGGTATGAGGTATTTATTCATTCACACTGCTGTCGGAACAAAAGAGAAACAAGAGATATCGATTCACGTTTGTGATGAGATAGATTTCTTCTTCTACCTACATGTACCTTACATCTTTAGTACCTTACCTGTCAACCTAAAGTTGTACTCGACTGCGTGGGGTACAGCATGCATGCATCGCATCATGCCTAATGAATGCTTGTCGTATATGAGTGAGCTGTAGAAGTATCTGACGTAGATACCCGACTTTCTTTATCCTCTCTTGGCTGCCGAGACTGCTCGACTGACCTGGCATCACATCCAAGCAAGCACCCTTTGTTGCTCTTGTCTCGCCGCCGTAATGCTCACTCTGCCTAGCCTGGACTCTGTCGAAAGTTTCTGACGTCTGAGCAGTTGAGGCCCCCTTCACCCCATCCAAGACCCCGTCATCCTTCCGCCCCTCTCAATGCCGAGAATGTTTGCGTGTTCGGTCTGGTAGAGGGTCCTCCAGCATTTCATTATTCTCGCCTTGTGGAGAGGCCTTGGCGCGCTTAGCCACCGAAGACGCGGATGCCTCTCTCTCTCGATTCTCCTCCTGTTCAGAAGGAGTTCGAGCCCTCTTTTTGGCCGGCTTCACGGCCCATTGAATCACGTATCCATGATTTTCCGCCGCCTCTAAGTAGTTCACATGATCTCTGTTAACTTGCGCCGCAGCCCCCAGCCGGTACTCTTGCAGGTCCTCGTCGTCGCTGGGCTCATCCACCAAATTCGAATCTGTCACACGATTCCTCCAATTCTCGATCTTCGGCCGGTTCGCCGCGTCGACCTCACTCGTCGAGGACTTCTCGTAGGCCATATCTTTCAGATGCAACGCGCCCTTGAAGTCTGCGCTTGCCTTGCTCTGCTCGACTTCACGTTGCTGCAGTGCGTGATTGGCTTCAAAACAGTCAAGCCACTTTTGAAATGCGACGTCTGTTTTATATCTCCAGTCGTCTAATTGATCGAGCCTCTCGGCTGGGTTTGGCTGCGTGTAAGCCCATTGCATGTACAGTGCGTGCGACTGGTCTCGGTATGCTCTCAGTGTGTGAATTTCTGTTGCTGAAATGAGGCTGATTTGGGAAATGGACATGGAAAGCAGCCCTTGCAAGCGGACTGCGAGGGGGTGCGCTTGCACTGTTGGAGCTTGAGCGAAGAATCGCTGATGGTGGTAGTTATGTGCCATGCGTGGCGAGAGGTAGGAATGGTTGAAGAATTGTACGCGCTCGCGATAGAACTGACGATAATGCGGTTCTGGAAGGAGTTGTTGAAGTGAAAAAGGTTGGTGTGCCTGAGGAAGCCGGTAATACTGTTGCAGTGGCGATGAATACATGTATATGGCACCGCTGCTGGCACCTCGCGTCGCTGCCAAGCTTGGAATTGCCCGGTAAGAGTTCTGTCGCGATGGCGGAGGATGGCGAGTAGGAGGAGAAGGAGCGGAGGGTGCAGAAGGAAAGAGATACAGGTGGCCTCCTGACGCCATACCTGTGGTCTCTGAGCTCTGAATGAAGTCGTAGGTACCTAAGGTAAGGTAGGTTGGTATCCTTCCAGTTCGCTCCAGATCTCGAATTAAAATGGGGGAGTACCGTAAGTTCAGAAAGCAGCAAGAGTATGGTGGTGTTGTAACCTGGATATGCAGATGAGGTTTCCGGTGAGGTTTCACTCACATCTTTCCATTGCCATCTATTGTTGCTGTAGTTGTTATTGTTGTTATTGTTATTATCAATGTGGTAAAGGCATATATGCACGCATGGGCACAATTCACAGGCGCCAGCGCCTGCACTAGCAGCTGAGTTACTGAGGTGACTGGTTTCTTACGCCCATGTGAATCTCAATTGGGCTTGAGTTGTGTGTGTAAGTGTGTGTGTGCGGACTACGCGAAGGCAGCAACAATGACAAAGTGCTTCATTCAGTAAGGTGTTCCCAGAGTGTGTCTCGGCACATTGGACCTCAGACTCCACGGCCAAGTGAAGTCTCCTTGCTTGGCGATCGCACTATGTCGCGAGTCAGCGCCTTCTACACCGACAATGGACGAGAGTGGCCGATTCGGGCATTACTCACTTATTGGCTTCTTTGACACACTACCAGGCCATGTCACATTAATCATTAGTTGGCTTCTTTTGCACACTACCAGGCCAAGTCGCACAGCTTAAGCCGAGACATGGGATTATAACACCTTCACCGGACAGAGGCTAAGCCCAGAACCAAAATACGTCGACATGGGCTCGGGCCTTCTTTATTGCACGATGATAGTGCGTGGAGCCCAGCAAACCAATGACAGATCAGTCGTGGCAGCAGCAGCAGCAGCAGCAGCAGCAGTGAGGAGACCTACCTCCTAGTCAGACCTGGGTCAACAAGCCGGGCGTATCGCGAGAGGCAATGAGGCCAATCAACCACTTCTGCACTGCGATTGTTTAGATAAAATGTAGATGCGATCGGACCTGGTAGGGCAAAGAGTAAGCGAACGACGTCAATAGCCCGGTCTTTTGATGCCAACTCAGGTACTACCGACTTCTACCCAGCCCATGCAGAACCAACCTGGAGGGAAGAAGACGTGCTCCAATTCGTACCTAGGAAGTAGCGACTCAGCTACCTCCTAACCCCCAGAGAGCTCCAATATGGATGGGATTCTCATGAACCACAGCCTCTCGCTTCTCCACCTGTTGCTCTTCAGTTCGTCTATGCAGGTACGTGGGAAGAGCCGCTGGGTGTTATACAATGAATAGACGTCAGGAATGGAAATTCGACCCGGTAAGAGCTTCATCTGAGTGCTGAAGGGGCTCCTCTAGGAGAAAGTGGAAGAGTGGTCATGGTGACTCTCGACGTGGTCAGCTGGAGGACACCGCGATCCAATATTCTCATCCACACGTCAAGTGGCACAGAGGCCGTGGAGGATGTATATCGTCACCGCACCCACACGCCATCAATGAATCAAGCCGTCGCAATTTCGAAATGAGCCACGCACCAAGGGAGGTAGCAAACGCGCAGACGCTGTCCGACAATTGAGACTGGTCAGCCAAGTCCAACCTCAGACGACGAGCACCAGCCACAACTCACTACTGCCCTCTCCCGCATCAGACATGCCGGAAAGATGGACCTGGCAACGACTGGAGATGCGCGCACCGGTGGCGAAGTGGCGATCTGGTCTGCATCTGCGATTACAGCAACTGGACGATCCAGGTTTCGCGTGGCACAAGAAGAGATGCACGCCCGGAGATGAGATGGATGCATGAATGATGTAAGAGTATGTGCAACTCCCAACGCGTCCAATTCTCCGGTCTCTGGCTCTGCGTCGTGTCGTTTGTCGTAATGAATGAAGATCCGAAAAAAACTTGGACACTGGCCAAAACAGCGGAGACTACTTACGCCATTTTCCCATCCAACCCGACATGGATGTGTTTCAGGGCACGGAGGGCACAGGGCAGTACCTCATACTATAGGATGTACCTGGTAGACTCCAGTAGGTGGGTAGTGACGGCACTGACGGGCCACGGCCCTCTCGGCTGGGCCTTCCCCTTGGTTGCACGTGGCCGGCTATTTTGCCGTTCAGTGCAGCTGGTGTCGAGCCGCCGGGAGCGCGAACTCCAAACCTTCGCCCACTTCACCATTCACCACTCACCACCCACCACTCACTACTGCATACTTCCGAGTCCACATTCCAAGGACATACACCGTATCGTATCGCATCACATCCGACCAGCGTGTGCCTCGCCTGGGAACTGCGCGTTCCAGCACATCGCTGTGGCTCGTGACGCTGCAGGCGACACCACTCACGGGAACCCGACGGTTGGTGGCCCATCGTTCACATCCCAGAAGATATGTCAGTGTGGCACGCATTCGCGGCTCGTCTATTCTCTGCGAGTATTATTGTGGGTCACCAGCCCTCGAACTGCCTCCTCTCTGACATGACAATGTCTCGGGCGCGGCTCAGCATGCTCCAGCTCCAGCTCCAGTCCAGCTCCTTCGTCCGTTCGAATCTATCAACTTCTCCAGGCGCTTGCACGGGCTTTGGAACGGTTTCCCTGCCACAGGAACTGGAGCCCACACGATATGTACCAGGCTGGAGGACCGTGACGTCTCCACGTAGCGACAATGTGGTCACACTCACGACATCACAGGAAATCCTGCCTCCGTCCTTCGAACAAGACTGCAGATCACAGCATGTGGCGTCGATCGAATCAGGAAACCTGGCAGACCTGGCAGCCATTGTGAACTGCCCGTCTGTGACCACAGGAGAGGCGCGAGCTCTCATCCCTGCGACCAATGTCGGCAAGCTCTTGTGACATCATTCCATATCATCTTGACGACTGTGAGGACGTCTGTGTTGCAGTCAATGAGCTGGGTACTGTATATCCTGTGCCTCGCATGTGTCCCTATCTGTGTAGCTACATCTACCTCCAAACCACTCTCAGCCACACACCCTGATACCTTTTCCTCCCTTTTGACTCCCCCTTGCTATACCATTGTTGCATTTGCATGTCAAGCAACTCTAAACAGTACGCGTATTACTCTTTCCCTCCTACTCCGACTCGAACTTCTCCGTCTAGTCGACGACGAAACGATTCACGAAGTAATTCTACATCTACCAACAGATCTTTGTACGAAATGGCGCCATCCCCAGCAGCAGGAAAACAGACCAGCTCCAGCTCCATGCCCAAGACTCCTACTAAGCTCCAGAGAAAGCCTGGTCAGACACCCCAGAGACCGGGCCAAGCCTCTGCCAGCAAGACTCCATCCACACCAAAGGCTACACAGTCCACACCCAAGGCTACACAGTCCACACCAAAGGCTGCACAGTCAGCGAAATCAGAGACAGACTCACCCAAACCTCCAGCGAAACCAGCAGCTGGCCAAAAAGCCGAGCAAGCCAAGGATCAGGCTGGAAGCACAGCAGACGATATCAAGCAACAGACTGGGAAAGCGCAATCAGTGGCGCAAAGCTCAGCTACTGATGATGATGACGAAGAGCCATTGAGCAAGGTCTCTCAGGCTGGCCAGCAGTCCAAGGAATCTCTCCAGCCACAGACCCCAGAGCCGATTCCTGATGATGATGACGACGACGACGACGAGAAGGAGGATGATGACGAGAATGACGATGAAGATGCAGTCACGGGAGCGCAGGAGCAAGCACACGGCGCTGCCGGAAAGGTAGAGGATGATGCTGAGTCCACTGCCGATGATGCTACCGAGAAGGCTGGGGATACCATCCAGTCAGCCGACGATGAAGATGGAAGCTCTCAACAAAGCCAGCAGCTGCCACAGCAAGGCAAGAAAGGCAATGGTCTATTGAGCGGCGCAAAGGGTCTCGCCGGAAAGGCAGGCAGCCTTGCCGACAAGGCCTCCAAGGATCCCAAGTCAGCAACACAGCAAGCTCCACAAGACACCAAGAAGGGTATTGAAGACACTGCAAAGGACTCCCAAAAAGGTGTTCAGAATGTCCAAGACACCGCGGACGACGGTGTTGAGGAGGGTCAGAAAGTGGCAGGCGAGACTACTGATGAAGCCGAGGACGCTACAGAAGGACTGCAAGACAGTGCTAAGCAAGCCGCTGATAAGACTGGAAAGACTGCTCAAGACGCGACGGGCGACGCGGAGGATGCAGCATCAGACGCCAAAGACTCCGCAGAGGGTGCTGTGGGAGATGTTAAAGACTCCACCGAGCATGCTCAAGATCAGGCCGAAGACGCTACGGAAGACGCCAAAGACCAAGTCAAAGACTCTGCCGACAGTGCTAAATCTCAGGCAGATGACACAGCCGCAGATGCCAAGGACTCGGCCGAAGATGTTGCAGATGACACCGAAGCTACTGCGGGCGCTGCCAAAGATCAAACCGATGCCACAGCAGAGAGTGCAAAAGAAGAAGGTGAGAGCACTATCGAGTCTGAGCTTCCAGTTCCTGAAGGCCTTCCTGTCGATCTCAATGTCCTCAAGGGACTCGAGGTTCAAGAAGATGGTACTGTCTTGGATAAGGAAGGTAACCCTGTTGGCCGCCTCGCTGAGGGCGACGCCGAAGATCTCGCTGGCTACCCGATCGGAGAAGATGGAGAGATCCTCGACGACGACGGGGACCTTGTCGGGCGAGTTGAGCTCATGCCAGAAGAGATCAAGCGCCAGCTGCAGGAGACCCGCGAGAGCGGCGAGGAACTTCCAGAAGACGCTCAGACTTACCTCGGCCAATTGGAGGACCAAGCCGAAGAACAAGTCGACGATGCTGAAGAAGAGGTGGACGGTGATTTGCCATCCCTGTCGATTATGGAAGGTCTTACTTGCCAGGTCGATGGTCTCATCTATGATGCTGAGGGCAACACCATTGGGCGAGTGACTGACGGCGATCCTCAAAAACTCCAGAACGCAGTTCTCAACGCAAAAGGCGAGTTCATTGACCAGGATGGCAACGTCGTTGGTCGCGCAGAGATTCACGAGGATACTGAAGAGCTTGTTGAACAGGGCGTTTACGAACCAGCGAAGCAAGCTGCTGCCGACGCTGACGACCGCATCGACAGCGGCCAAGAAGAGGGTGTAGACGCCGCCAAGGATGTCGCTGGCGAGGCAGAAGATGCTGTTCCAACTGAGATCGAGGATCAGCTACCTGGAATCGAGGCCCTCCAAGGCAAGGAGCTCAATGAGGCTGGCGAGATTGTCGACGAGGAAGGCAATATCCTCGGTAACATCGCCGATGACTCCGAAGATCTCAAGAAGAAGATTGAAGAAGGCAAAGTCGATCCAGAGACTCTCAAGATCGATGAAGAGGGGAATCTTGTCGACGAGGAGGGCAACGTTCTCGGCAAGACTGAGCTTGCTGAAGGTGCTGCTGAGAAGCTGCAACAGCTCAGCAAGCTGCAAGACCTTCGCATTCTGAATGGTAAGCGTCTCAACAAAAAGGGCAAGATCATTGACGACGAAGGCGAAGAGATTGGCGAGCTCACTGATGGCGATCTCGCCGAAGCTGCTGGCGGCCGCGCCAATGATAAGGGAGAGATCTTGAACAAGAAAGGCGAGGTTGTAGGTCATGTCAGGGTCGTACCAGGTGACGCAGCTGAGCAGGCTACCAAAGAGCTTCTGGAAGAACTTGGCGAGAACGTTGAAGAAGACGCTGACGAAGAAGAGAAGGAAGAGGAAGAGAAGGTAGAGGAAGCAGAGCAGGGTGAAGAGGGTGAGGGTGAAGAGGGAGAGCCTGAGCAGGAAGAGCCTGAAGAGGAAGAGTCTGGAGAGGAAGAGCCGCAATACGAAGAGCCCGAGTTGAACATTCTCGATGGACTGAAAGTCAACAAGAAGGGCCAAGTCCTGGACGAGGAAGGAGAGCCAATCGGCGAGCTCACTGCTGGCGAACTATCCAAGTGCGCGGGCAAGAAGATCAACGCCACTGGCGAAGTCGTTGACAAGGATGGCAAGGTCCTTGGACACGTTCGCACTTTACCACAAAAGGTTGAGCCAGTCGAAGAAGCCCCTGCTGTATCGGTCTTGGAGGGTCTCAAGGTCAACAAGAAAGGACTTGTCCTCAACGAAGATGGAGAGCAGATCGGCGAGCTCACTTCTGGTGACTTGTCCAAGGTTGCCGGTAAGAAAATTGATGCAAAGGGCCAGGTCCTCGATGATAAAGGCGAAGTCATTGGTACTGTTCGCACTCTTCCAACCGATGATCAAGAGGAAGAGCAGCCAGAAGAGCAGGCCGAGGAGGAAGAGGAAGAGGAAGAGGATAAGGATGCGACACAGCTCCCACCTCTTTCCGCCCTCGAGGGCTTGTCTGTCAACAAAGCCGGCAAGCTGATTGATGGAAATGGTGCCATCATTGGCGAGCTTACGGAGGGTGACGCAAAGAAGTTGTCCAAGTCTGGTCTCACTGCCGATGCCGAGGGCCAATTCTGGGACAACAAGGGCCATGTGATTGGTCGTGCAAAGACTCTCCCCCAAGAAGATCCAGAAGAGGAGGCACCTTTCGCTGGACTAGAAGGACTCCGCGTTGTTGAGGAAGGCTGGGTGCAAGACGCCGAGGGCCACACTGTCGGCTACGTGACGGAAGGGGAGGCTGCCAAGCTCATCGGACGTGCTGTGGACGAAGATGGTGATATCCTCGACAAGAAGGGCTCTGTTGTCGGACATGCCGAGCGGTACGTGCCTGAAGAGGAAGAGGAGCAACCAGAAGAGAAGCCAGATCTCTCTTTCCTCGAAGGCAAGACTGTGACTAAGCAAGGTCTGGTGATTGGAGACGAAGGCATCCCAGTCGCGCGTCTCGTCGAAGGTAGCGCCAAAGAGCTCGCTGGACGCTCTCTCGACAAGGAGGGTCAATTCTGGAATGACAAGGGCTCTGTCATTGGTAAGGTCGAACTCATTCCGGAAGCGGAACGCGAGGCCAAGCCCGAGGGACCTTTCGCTGGTTATGACGACTTGCGAGTTGTCGAAGGTGGCAAGGTAGCTGATGAGGACGGAAACGTCGTCGGAGAGATTGTTGAAGGCAATCCAAAGCGCCTTGTCGGCTTGTCTGTGGATGAAGATGGAGATATCCTCGACAAGTATGGCAACGTCAAAGGCCACGCAGAGCCCATTCCAGATGAGGACCCCATCGATTATTCCATCCTGGACGGCCTGACTCTGAATAAAGCTGGATTTGTCGTCGATGAAAGCGGCATTCCCATTGGCAAGATTGTTGAAGGATCTCCTTCTGACCTCGCTGGCAAGAAGTGCGATGAGAACGGTTACATTTACAACGATACTGGCAAGGTTGTTGGGCGTTGCGAACCTCTTCCCGAAGCAGAGCGCCAGAAGAAGGCCGAAGGCGCCTTTGCAGGCCTTGAGGGCTTGCATGTCGTAGAAGGCGGCTATGTTCAGGATGCCGAAGACAACAGAGTCGGACAGATCGTGGAAGGCGACGCCAAGAAGCTCATTGGCATGAAGGTTGATGAGGATGGAGACATAATTGACAAGTTTGGTAATGTCAAGGGTCATGCCGAACGCGTCGAAGAAGAGGAGAAGGAGATTGACTATTCCATCCTCGACGGCCTCACTCTGAACAAGCAAGGGCTAGTTGTCGACCAGAACGGAACACCTTTCGGACGACTAGTGGAAGGACAAGCTTCGGAACTCGCAGGACGACAATGCGACGAGCAAGGCTACATCTACAATGATCGTGGCAAGCCTGCAGGTCGAGCCGAGCCCATCCCAGAAGAAGAACGAGTCGCACGTCCAGAGGGACCATTTGCCGGTCTCGAGGGTCTTCATGTCGTCAAGGATGGCAACGTTGAGGACGAGAACGGCAACGTGGTAGGGCACATCACAGAGGGTGACCCAAAGCGCCTGGTTGGACTCAAGGTCGACGAGGATGGCGACATCATCGATAAGTTCGGGAACACCAAGGGTCATGCTGAACCTCTCGAAGAAGAGGAGGAGAAGCCAGTCGATAACTCCGCGCTCGAGGGCAAGTACCTCAACAAGCAAGGATACGTTGTGGACGACAAGGGCATTCCTTTCGGCCGTCTCATCGAGGGCAATGTTTCAGAGCTTGCAGGTCGCAAGTGTGATGAGAATGGCTACATCTATGGCGATACCGGCAAGGTGGTAGGCAAGTGCGAGGTCCTACCCGAGAACGAGAGAGTCGCTCGCCCAGAGGGTCCATTTGCTGGTCTCGAGGGTCTTCGCGTCGTTAAGGACGGATACGTCGAAGATCAAGACGGCAACCGGGTGGGCCAAATCGTCGAGGGAGAGGCGAAGAGACTGGTAGGACTCCACGTGGACGAAGATGGCGATATTATCGACAAGTACGGCAACGTCAAAGGTCATGCCGAGCCTTGGCAGGAGGAGGACGAACAAGCTGCTGACCTCTCTCGTCTTGCGGGAACCACGATCAACAAGGCTGGCTACGCTGTCGATGGCAGCGGGCAAATTGTGGGCCGCGTCGTCGAGGGTGACCCTAACATCATGATCGGAAAGAAGGTCGACAAGGAGGGACAGATCTGGGACGATGCCGGCAATGTCATTGGCCAAGCCGAGATCGTGACGGGTGTCAACTCTGAAGAAGGTCCATTTGCAGGCTTCGATAATCTCGTCATTAACAAGGACGGAACCGTCACCACCGAAGCGGGGGACATTGTTGGTCGTGTGACCGAAGGCGACATCAAGAAGCTCCTCGGGCACACGGTCGACGAGGACGGAGACATTCTCGACAAGAATGGAAATAAGATCGGCAAAGCTGAGCGATGGGAGCCCGAAGAGAAGGAACGTCGCATCAATCCAATGTCTGGGAAGCGTGTCAACAAGGAGGGTGAAGTTCGCGACGACAATGGCGATCTCTTGGGCAAGTTGACTCAAGGTGATCTTGGACACTGCGTCGGACAGGAGATTGACGACGCCGGCAACGTGGTCGATGTCGAAGGCAACAAGATCGGTGAAGTCACTCTCATCGAGAACATTGCCGAAGACGAGTACGAGGGCCCAACGCAAGAAGAGCTCGACGAGGCTGCCAAGCGCGAGGAAGAACGCGAGATTGCTGGCAAGATGGGCACCATCTGCCAGCAGACCCTTGAGAAGATGCAGCCCATCTGCAAGCAGATCAAGGAGCATATGGAAAAGGCCGACAGCACTCCCAAGGAGGAACTTGATGAGGAAGAGCTTGTCAACCAAGTCAAGCCACTCATCGAGGAAGGCGGTCGTATCTTGCAAGAGTGCAATGGCTCGCTTCGTGGGCTCGACCCCGATGGCAAGATTGCTGCTCAAGCCAAGGGCCGCGCTGGCACCGGAGAGGCCACCCCAGAAGAGTTCCGTCTGGCAGAGACGCTCAAGGAACTCACCACCACGGTCGTCACCACCATTGACGATGCGAAGAAGAAGCTCAACAACATGCCTCATGCTAAGAAGAAGCTTAACCCACTCTGGTCGCTCATGACTCAACCTCTCTTCCAGATCCTGGCTGCCGTCGGACTCCTCCTCGCTGGCGTTCTCGGTCTGGTCGGACAGTTGCTCAACGGTCTCGGTCTCGGCGGTTTGGTCAACGGCCTCCTCGGCGGTCTCGGAATCAACAAGCTCCTCGCCTCCTTCGGTCTCATCGATGGCGACAAGGACAAGAAGAAGGGTTCCGGAAAGAGCAAGCTCTCTTCCATTCCTGTGGTTGGAGGCCTTCTCGGTGGTGGTAAGTAAACCTCTGATACAGCACACATTTCCCTCGCATCGCTTTTCCTCTCTCCCTCTCTCCCACCTGTAATCCACATCACGCTTTTTGAGGGAGATGTTTGGGGAAAAGCGTGCGATGTGTCAGGGCTTACTTATCTCTACCTTATCTACTGGAATCACGCGCACTCCCCTTTGCCCACACCTTTTCTGTGTGAGCACTCTGACCACAATGTTCTGTGCGTTCTAGACAAGAAAGAGGATGAGAAGAAGAAGAGTGACGAAGAACAAGTGATGGAGACGGCCGTGGCGATGGATAATTGGCAGAAAATTGGCGCGCCTGTGGTCGTTGCTGTGGAATCTTCGTAGGAGAAAAAATTTAATGTATATGATGATGATTTCTTTTTTGGGAGGGGGCCAAAGTCGGACTCAGCAAAGCATTGGGCGTTTATTGTTCACTGAAGTGTACTATGAATATGGAGAGGTGGAAATTTTGTTGTATTGGCTTCGAAGTTCGGCACTTATACTTGTCATCAGCATTCATTGGCTTGACGATTTGTTTTTTCTTTTGTGTAAAGAAGGCAGAAGTTGATGTATAGTACACATGTAGCAATGAGATTTCTCTTATGATGAACCGCTCTCTGTCTGTTCTTCGTCTGTACCAATTGAGGGTCTGTATTGCTATAACATGGAATTGCAAGCGACAACTCAGCGTAAGATAGGAAGTGTATGCGATACAGTTCTTAATTCGAGGAGTGTTTGGAGTGCTCGTAGGTGTCAGTCGTCAAGTGAGGTCCGGGGATAGCTCGGAGAACTCGAGTGAGATCACGAAGCCTAAACTTTTCGATGCTTCGCAAGTCCACCAAACACACCAAACACCAACCACAATCCAACCATCATGAAGAAGTCCACGACAGCGCGGAGAGTGCCGCGCAGAATTGGAGGAGACGACGAGGATGACGACAAGTCGGAGTCCTCTGCGCAAATCTCAGGTATGCCACCATCTACTTCCAATTCACGTGCCACTAGTACCATGCTTGTTCAGCTCTGACACCATTTTCCCAGTCCGCGATCCCGACTGACTGAAGTGCGCGCAGAGATCAAGCGACCGCTGTTCAAACCTCGAAAATCGACCTCTTCTCGCAAATCGCTAGGCCTTACTCCTCTGGATCACGACGAGGAAGAGGATTCGGCCGAATCGGTCGTGACACCGAAGCGTGCGGGCCTGTCGCGCGTAGCTATACAGCGCAATGCCTCGAAGCGATCTTCGTTACTGGCATCTCAACTACCACGAAGGTCTCCTGGAGAGGAGGACGACGATGACCGGCCAAAGTATAGCGCTGATGCGTTGCTCGAATTGAGGGACAGCACACCCGCTACGCCCAAGGAGTTTGGTACGGTGGAAGATGTCGCAGCAGGAACACAGGCGCTGGATCTTTCTGCGAAATTCGGAGCTTCCCTTGTACGATATGATCACTTATCTGGACAGTCATCGGCAATTCCTTCTGCGACTGAGATTGCAGAAAAGAAAGCTCGACGAGCACGTTTAGCCAGGGAAGAAGCGGCTGAGTACATCTCTCTGGATCCTGATGATCCAAACCTCGACGACGATGACGGAGATCTCGACGAGAATGTCATGCGCAACGAGAGAGGCCAGCTTGTTCTCAAACCCAAAGAAGACAAGTATGGTCTCTCGGAAAGCAGGCTCGTGCACGAGGACGAAGACATTATGGAGAATTTTGACGAATTCACCGAAGATGGGAAGATCTCTCTGGGGAAAAAAGCCGAAGCTGAAGCCGCACGGAAGAGAAAACAGGATATGGCAGCGCAAATTGCCGAAGCTGAAGGCGCATCAGATGCAGAAGATTCCGACGATAGTGAACGTGCCCGAACCGATGCCTTCGTGGCAAACCAAACTCGCCATGGGATATACAATAATCCGCATTCCACCACTACTCCTGCCGCAGCTCTCGACCTAACCGCCCACAGACCAAAAACCCCTCCCATCATCACCCCTCTGCCCACTGTCACCATTGTCGCGCAACGATTAGAAGCACAGCTCACCAGTATGCAAGCTGCGCGCACACAGAAATTGCAAGAGATGCGAAGATTGCAGCGCGAGAAAATCGATTTGGCAGAACAGGAAGTTCGAATCCAGCAGGCGCTTAAAGAAACTGCGGAGAAATTTTCTCATCTGCGAAAGGAAAAAGGTATAGGAGAGGTAGTCGATCTGGACTTGGTTGTTCCGAAAAGTAGTGAGCAGCGATATCTTACTATTGAGGAGGCGGCGGTGGCGGCGACGCCGCCGCCTGGTGAGGCGGTGGAGAGAGGCGGTGAAGCGCTGGAGAAGGATATGGAAAATATGGAAGATGAGGAGGGGGAAGAGAAAGAGAGACAAGAAGAAGAGGAGGTGGACGTGGACGTGGAAGAAGAAGAGGATGACCGCGCTGCTTTTGGCGGCCTGGGTCTTGGTGGTGCTGGGAGACCGAATCTTGCAGGGTTTGGCTTGGGATATCCCAATGTCAGAGATGACGAAGATGAGAGATAGGTAGGTACCTTAGGTAGGTACGTGGATAATAATGATGAAAGGTATATATACCATTTAACATATTATCGCATTTGCTTTATTCATCTCCAAATTCATGAAGAGGTATCTATTACCAGCATCTCGTGTGCATATACATATATATGTATGTATGTATTTGATTGCGCCACAATTCAGAGCCTTCTCTCCCTCTCTGCCTCCGCCTCGTATTTCTGAGGAACAGGCCTTGTTTCTTTTCATCCCTAAAGCGACATGCGGGCGAACAGGCAGGCAGACAGGCAGACAGACAATATGTATCGAGCAAGACGTTTCGACGACATCGAAATTGCATATCTCTTCGTACCGTGCTTTTCGTTGTTTCATTCCAAGTACCTAATGCTGCTGCTGCTGCTCTTTCTCATCTTAATCGGGTTCGGTAGGTGGAGAGGGTTTCTTTCGCTTGTTGGAGAATTTGAAATATGGTGTGTCTGCAAGAGATATCTATTCGCACAACGAAAGTCAGTCGAACTACGTGGATGTCAGCCTTTTCTTTTGGTGTGTTTGTGGAGTGGGCAGAGCGCGCGCGCTCTCCCTTTCTCTCTCTCTCTCTCTCTCTCTCTCTCTGTATGTGGGCACAGACTAGTCTGTATTTTGAAATAAACCAAACCAGAGACTCTTGTTCAGCATGCTCTTGTTCAGGTTTGGCCATTTACAGTATGCTAACATAGCATTTGTGAACAGCCGGAGACACTTTCACTTTTTTTATTTTCGCTCAAGTTCGTGGCCGGCCAAATCTGATATTGTACCAGCGCACGCTGGAACATGCCCCGCGTCACTCAATTTGGTATAGAAAGTGTATATCTGTCCTCGCAAATCACTTTGATCATGTTTTCGTGGTGTCTTCGAGGGTGCGGCGACGGCGCTGATGTCCTGTGCTCGGGCGTGCAGAGTTTTTCCGTGGCACTTGCTTCGCATTCGACGTGGCCCCGGGGAGACGCAAGCTCAAGATGATGGTAGTCGTAGTGAAGTGCATATTCCCGTGCTCTTCACGGAGTCGTGAATGCTACCGTCATGTAGAGAGCACACGAGTACTGTATGCTGGATGTGTTCGTATCAGCGTGGCATGGTAGACGTCAAGAGGTGAAGTTGAAGGTGAAGTCAAACAAGACACTAGCGTCCGTCGCACGCTGCTCTCTCCACCTCCTGCGCGCGCCCTCTTCTTCGAGTAATCAAGAACCACCTCCCACCTCACTTCACTTCACTTCACCTCACCTTACACATCTATTCGCGCATACAGCACTCATTGCACCCTGTCTCGCTACAATACCCTCCTTTTACAACAACACATCCGACCACTCCCCCGACATTGCGAGTGAGGTATTCGACGGGGTCTGGTTCTAGGCGATCCTCGGCAGAGTTCATTTTCGTTTCTCAGCCTCCCCGGAGCCGATCGCTAGACCACCACGTACGGCTGTCATGGTGGCAACGAAGTCTACCACGCGCAACAGCACTTCTCTTGCATGAGCCACACATTCTGCGAAATGGCAGGTGCTGTGCACGACATGGGCTATATGGCTGCCCAGCCCGCGCTGCTGGCGAAGCCAATTGGCAAGGATATCAGAATCTCGCAAGCGTCGGTGACGGAGGAAGATGACTCGAGCTTATCCTCAACCGGCACAGAGCTCTTTGACCAGGACTCTGCTGGTTCGTTACAAGATGGCAAATGGCAGCTTGATGCCAATGGCAAATGGCGTCGATCGGGGTCGTCAGAGCCATCGACGAGCACGGGGATATCTTCGTTATGCTCGTCCGTGGGAGCCGAAGATCCTCACTCTGACATTCCAACTCTCAGCTCAACAAAAAGAAAGCGTTTGGCTGATGGCAGTTTGAAAGAAGGAATACCATCGCAGCCCAGTGTCACTGTTCAAACATCTGCAACAGTCAATCTCGATGCCGAAAAGTCAATCGCCTCTCAGCCCGAACCACCACCTAAAAAGAAAAGAGGTCGACCTCCGAAGGTGAGGCCATTGATCACAAACACAGATACGTTGCCACCTCCGCCAGCAACAGATGCCTCGCCCAAGGTGCCCAAATATCGAAAATATGTTCCGCCCGCGCTCGAGGCTCGTGCTCGCTCTTCCATCCCATCTCGGATTCCCGCAGATGTATTTGCCAGCGAATGTGTCGAAGCTGCGTACGAATCGAGACTGGACCCATATGCGCTCGATCCCGGCGAGAATAAACTTCTCCTGGACCTGCTGATGTCGCAGGAGGTCACCGTGTACCTGAACATTCGAAATGCGATCCTTAGGCTGTGGCAGCAGAACCCTCTATGTAGCGTCACACGCGAGGAAGCCGCTGGCTGTGCAAAAGAGAGTCGCTTTTTCGGACTTGCAGAAGTTGCTTACAGGTGGTTGACACGAAATGGTTACATCAATTTTGGCTGTGTGGAGACCATCAAGGATAAGTCACTACCAAAGAGGTACCCGAAAGAAACAAGACAGAGAACGGTGGTGGTGGTTGGTGCTGGTGTAGCAGGACTTACTACAGCTCGTCAGCTTGAAAGCCTGTTCGTACAAGAAGCGGCCAAATGGATAGCCATGGGTGAGCGACCACCACGCGTGATCGTGTTGGAAGGACGAAAGCGCATTGGCGGTCGTGTCTATTCGAAGCCGCTGAGAAGCCAAGTCACGGGCAGCCTGCCAAATGGTTTGCGCAACACTGCCGAAATGGGAGCCATGATTGTTACAGGCTTCGAGCATGGCAACCCTCTCAACACAATTATACGTGGGCAGCTGGGGATCCGATACCACCTCATGCGGGATGCACTCACCATATACGATTGCGACGGAAAGCCCGTGGACGAACGCAGAGACATACTGAACACGGAGCTGTATACCGACATTTCGGAACGGGCAGGCGACTATCGGATTCAACCACAAAAGCAGGAAACACTGAAGGGTGACGAAGATCTCATTAATCGACATCGAGATCCTGCCACAAATGGATTCAGCGCGATGGAAGTGGAGCTGGAGCCTCTTGGAGCAGGACACATCAAGTCGCACAAGCCCGCGACCAGACGAGGACGTCGGCGAAACGCTCCTCCGGGCACAGAAAAGATCACTGGCCGTAGTCAGGTCGTAGAAGAAGGTGGAAGCGCCACACACAGCGCGTCTCGAGCAGCCAGAGAGATGGGTTGGCAAGTCAAGGAGGGTGTGGCTCGGAATCAGAGCGTGTCTCTGCACCACATTGCCGACTCCAGTGATTACCCGGCACTCGGGACAGTGATGGACGAAGCCATCAACCAATACCAAGATCTCATCGACATCACACCTCAGGATATGAGGCTGCTGAATTGGCACCATGCCAACCTCGAGTATGCTAATGCTGCGCCTGTCTCGATGCTGAGTTTGAGTGGGCATGACCAAGATACGGGAAACGAATTCGAAGGCGCGCACTCGGAGATTGTGGGAGGCTACACTCAAGTACCACGCGGTCTCATGAATCTTCCCACAAAACTCGATGTGCGCTTCAACCGCATTGTGGACAGCATTCACTACGATGATGGGTCCGGAACACAAGACCCGTTGACGACCAAGGTCGTTTGTACCAACGGCGAGGTGTATGAAGCTGACGAAGTCATCGTTACTGCTCCTCTCGGCGTTCTGAAGTCCAATGCTGTCGACTTTGACCCTCCGCTGCCTGGCTGGAAGCAGGGTGCCATCGACCGTATGGGCTTCGGGTTGCTGAACAAGGTATGTATCGCTCATTTCCAGTATATCTTCTCAACACACTAACGCAGGTTGCAGGTGATATTACTGTACGATAAACCTTTCTGGGACAACGATCGCGACATGTTTGGTCTGCTGAACGAAGCCGAACGCCCCGACAGTCTCGATCCATCGGACTACGCGAGCAAAAGAGGACGTTTCTATCTGATTTGGAATGCCACCAAGACCAGCGGGCGACCGATGCTGATCGCTTTGATGGCGGGCAACGCGGCGCACGACGCTGAATGGACGCCGACAAGCACACTGATGGAAGAGGTGACGAACAGATTACGAGGCGTCTTCACCAAGGCACATGTTCCAGCGCCGCTGGAAGTCATTGTGACAAGATGGCGGAGAGATCCATTCACCAGGGGCACATATTCGTTCGTCGCTTCCGAAACTAGACCTGGCGATTACGATTTGATGTCTCGGTCTGTGGGCAACCTACACTTTGCAGGTGAAGCCACGTGTGGCACACACCCGGCTACCGTGCATGGAGCATTCCTATCAGGACTACGAGTGGCTTCGGAAGTGATTGATGACATGGCGGGCTTGATCACCGTGCCACACCCGCTCATCGGGCCTGTCTCACAGAAGGAGGAAACGCAACCGAAATGGGCGCCTGCTGTACCGCCATCGGCTCCTCGACCAGAGAAGACGCAGCAATACAGCATCGTCGCAGGCGTGGAAGATGCGGGGCCCCTCCAGCCGGTCATCAAGCAGGAAGAGGGCGCAAGCGAGGCGAGTGTGCAGAGTGTGGATCGGCCATCACTGCACAGGAAGAAGTCATCTGGACCTCCGGCGAGGAGCGTGTGTGCGCACGATGCGTCGTTCTGGGTGTCGCCGAGTTTCAATGGGTCGGATCTCGACTACGAAGCTGCCGTCATGGCCACCATTCTCGGGCAATTGGGCGAGCGGCCCGCGAAGCCGTCGAGACCGGGCGTGAACCCGTTTATTCTCTTCACCAAGGACAAGTGGGAAGTGGCCAAGGCGACGGTGGGCATCAGTGGTCGGGACAAGATCCGTGGTGAGGTGGGACGACTGTGGAAGACGTGCTCGGAAGAGGAACGAGAGCCATACCTCGTCCAGAGCCAGGCGGCACAGGAAGTGGCCGACTCGATGCGACGAGAGTATGAAGAGAAGTCGGCGGAATGGGATCGCGAGTCGGCTCGCATCCGCAGAGAGTACGCACTTCAACATCCGCCTCCACCGGAGTATGCGCAGAGCATGGTGGGCGTGAGTAAGCGCAAGACGAATACCAGCAATAATGTGGTGCTTGACCACCGATAGAGGGCGCCAAAAACACTTTCTGGTGGTGCTCGTGGAAGACAAGCAGAAGTTAGACAACAGAAATGTATATGTGAGGAGGGTTATAGCATGCATCCATCATTCACATGTGATGAGATGTGTATATCGGGCATATTCTAGTACCTAGGTATGATAGTAGGTATGATGAAGATTTTGTTTTTTTTTTCCCCATGGCAGTACAAGCAGTGTACAGACTACAGAGTAGGAGGTAAGGTACAGTAGGTACAGCAGAGTACTAGGTAGACAGACACTTGTACAGTAAAGGTACCAGTACAATTACCACATCAGGTACAGCTTGCAAACATGGGCTACCTTGTATCAACTCATGGCATCTCGTCACGAGTGCTCCGTACATGTTTAGTAGGTTGGTAAGGTACCTCCTTACTGGTCCGGCAGAAGAGAAGTCCAGGGCTGGCTGCTATTGTTTTGCATGGATGTGTTGTTGTTGTTGTTGTTGTTGTTGTTGTTGTTGTTGTGTTCCATGTGCTGCTGCTGAGCTGCTCCGTAGAGTTACGTTTGGGTACCTACGTTTAGGTAGTACGTTTCAATGCAGGGTTTAAAAGGTACTTGTTACTTGTATTGATGCACTGTAGATGTGTGCGTGTGGGTGGGTGTCAGTGTGTGGGTGTGTGGGTGTGGGTGTGTGGGTGTAGGTGTAGGTGTCAGTGTGTGGGTGTCAGTGTGTGTGTGGGAGGGCATGGCATGGCAGCGTTACAGTCGGTCGGGTCGGTTGGGTCGGTCGGGTCGGGTTGGATAGGATCTCTCTTCTTCTCTCCTCCTACCTAGGTACCTTACCTTCCAATCGGTGTGTAGGTGCCTGAGTTAGCTTGGGATTTGGAGGTACACACCACTTCCACCTCCGTTCGATAGTCTATCCGCACCTTGAAAATTACCCAAGATGTATAAGTTCCCGCCTTTTAGGTGCAGAATACCTGGCGAGGATCAAAGAAGTGGAGTTATCGCACCTTGCAAGCGGCGAAATAAAGGTGTTTCGCGATTTTGACCCCAGTGAGGATCAAAAAACACGTCCTCCTATACGCTGGACAGGGGGGTGCGGATGGACTATCGAACGGCTGTGGGATGTGTATGTACATAATGATCAAGATTGTCCCACCCATACATGTAGGCTACAGCCGTCTTTTTCTCCTGGTGAGGTAATTGTATCTATGTACATGTACCTGGTGATATCATCTTTTTTTTTGTCCCTCCTTTTACACGTGGGAGAACGCGCCAGAGTCTGAACAAAGCCATTCATTCACATTCTCTCCCTCTCCCTCTCTCTCTCTCGTCTATGCATGCCGATCCATGTAATAGGGTAGGTTAGGTACGGTACGGTAAGGTAGATAGATCTTTCTTCTCGTCAGTTGATACTAATACCTACCTTACCTGACCGGGCATGACGTCTGTCTAGGTAGCCAGTAGGTTTATTTGATACTACGAGTAAAAAGAATTCACACAGAATCCACTACGGAGGTACGGAGAGGTTACGGAGAGGCTAGAGGAGGTAGAGGTATAAAAGAAAAACGATTGAGTTTTGGTTTTTTTCCTTTTAGCACGAGAAATGAGGCGCCACGTGCGATTCACGTTTGCGGAGATACCTTGCCTGCATGTAGTTTACGATACCAAGGGGCCGGCGGCTGGGATGGACGAGGGTCATCTCTCATTCTCTCTCAGCTGAGCTTTATTAGTTTGAACTTGTATGGGGCCGAGGACTGGGAATAGAAGAAGCGTTGGGGAGAGATACATTATCTTCTGTATCTTTATCATTATCATCAATTCATCATCATCCTCATCATCATCTTCATCACCACCCTTCCGATTCACTCCTCGTTATCAGGAGAGAGATATATATCTGGAAAGGGAGCCTGCCAGCCTGGGAGATGCAGTAATAATGAATGCCCTAGTGAGCGTTGCGTGATTATGGTGATTTCGACAAACGCGTCTCCCTCGTCTATGTCAGGTATCTTATTACGTGTCTGCCTACCTCCTACCTTACCCAGACCTGTACAGGTTAGGTACATAGTCGCCACCTCGGATGTTCTGCTCCTCTCGACCAAAGTTCCGCGTGTAAAAAGTGTCGCTCAATCAGCCACGCCGCAGTGCCGCACCATCAATTACCTTACCGGCCTCCTCCCACCCAAACCCTTGACTTGCCGCCGAGCGTGCGGGCCCTCCCCTCGACCATCGCGACTCTCTACTGGGAGCTCCCTCTACTGCCTCCGTACTACCGCCTACCGCCTACCTCCTACCTGACCTGACTTAGACTCTTCACACCACAAACGGCGCTGCCCCAATTCACTCGCAGTCTGCAGACCGCTCTCACTGGCCAGCCACCCAAAAAGAAATGCTCCCTCGCTCTCACGCTGCTACTCTCTACATGTCACCCGCACCACCGAAGTCAGCACGCCCCGGACTCGACCATACACACACTACGTCACAGGGCCATTGAGACATCTCTCGCGCGACAAAGTTGACAGTCAGCCAGCCAGCCGCAACACCACCGGCCCGGACCAACTACATAACGCCCGATGACTGCAAAGAGGCGGACACACATGAGCTTGGAAGGATTCGAGGTAGCGGACCTGATAGACGAAGCGGAGCGCGCGCAGTTCGGCCGCCGCTGCTGCAGCTGCAGCTGCTGATACTGATCCTACCACTGCTACTGCTACTGCGCCTGCGCTATTGCTACTGCTCTACTGCTACTGCTCGAGCTCTGCCCATCGTCCTGGCGCATCGGCGCAGCGCGCGAGGGCCTTAGAAACTCTCCCCCTTCCCCTTCCGGGCGCTGGGGCTCGCACCGATAGATCATGTCGTTCTTTGGCAAGTTCAAAAGTGGCAGCACGGTATGTTCGCCTTCCCAGCCTGTGGTGTTGTCTGCAGGGAAGCCACATCGAAGCCCTCGGGAAATGTGATTGGGTGTGGATGAACATGCTGTGAGACTGACAGTGCGCTCTCGCAGACTGACGCCAGTAAAGTCGCGAGCTCGTTACCTGCAAGGAAAGACCCCAATGCGCCTGTGCCTACGCCCTTGGAGAGACATCTTGCCGACGTCGCTGCTCAACCCATACGCCCTGATGGAAGCGACAAGTACTTTGGTTTCGAAAATGTAAGTTCTTCGGGGGGAGGTAGAGAGAGAGAGAGAGGGAGAGACAGAGAGAGACAGGGTTTCAAATTACCATCACTGACATGAGATAGTACGGCTCGACATGGTATGCTTCCACCCGCATGGATGCGGATATGTATATACATCATCAGCAGGAGTGTAAGTAACTGACGAAAACGTAGCTATTGCAACTCGATCGTGCAGTGCCTATATTACTCCAAGCCCTTCCGGGAACATGTCATCAACTTCCCCTCGCCGACCTTCCTCGACCAGATCCGATCCCACGAAACGAATGGCGCCCCACCGTCGCCTCGAGCGACGGCAACGGGGACAACGCCCTACCCCAACCCCACGTCGCCTGCGCGAAAGTCCAACGTGCCCGCATCACCTGGACCGGGAGGTCTGAAGCCAGATGAAGATAAGAATTCACCGGACAACAGGAAGAAGAAGGCTTTGGCAGATGGCCCAGTGCTGGATATGCAGGCCGAACGGGCAAACGACTATGGCATGGACGAATCGCTCTTCACATCGCTGCGAGATATTTTCGAGGCCATCATCAAGAACCCTTCGCGCACAGGCGTGGTCAGCCCGCACAGGTTTCTGGAGATTCTGCGACGTGAGAATGAGATGTTCAGATCGGCTATGCACCAGGATGCTCATGAGTTCCTCAACTTGCTACTCAATCAAGTCGTGGACAATGTGGAGCTATTCGCGAAGCAGCACCCGCAAATAGCTGCTGCGCCGCACTTGAATGGGAATACACCCGAGGCGAAGGATCTGGCTTTGACGACGACACAGAGCACGACTGCAACTGCGCCTGCCCTGGACACACATTGGGTGCACGATCTATTCGAGGGTCTACTGACATCGGAAACCAGATGTCTGACCTGCGAAAATACCTCGCAACGAGACGAGGCTTTCTTGGACCTTTCCGTGGACCTGGATGCGCACAGTTCCGTCACATCGTGTTTGCGAAAGTTTTCGGAGGAGGAGATGCTGTGTGAGAGGAACAAGTTTCATTGCGACAATTGTGGTGGTCTGCAGGAAGCGGAAAAAAGGATGAAGATCAAGCGTTTACCACGGATTCTGGCTCTGCATCTTAAACGCTTCAAGTACACAGAGGACCTCCAACGGCTGCAGAAGCTCTTCCACCGAGTCGTATACCCTTTTTACTTACGGCTGTTCAACACGACAGACGATGCCGAAGACTCCGATCGGTTATACGAGTTGTACTCGGTCGTGGTGCACATTGGTGGCGGACCGTATCACGGTCACTATGTCAGTATCGTGAAGACGGAGGATCGAGGGTGGTTACTTTTCGATGATGAACTGGTCGAGCCTGTCAGCAAAGACTACGTGCAGCAATTCTTCGGCGGCGAGCCCGTACCGGGTGCGCAAGACGCGAAGCAACTGGCATGCGCGTATGTGCTGTTCTACCAGGAAACGACCATGGAGAAGATGCTCAAGGAGCAAGAGAAGGAAGGCCAACCAGCGGCTGCATCCGCAGCTTCGAGGGCATCGGAGACGGCAGAATCCAGCGATGGGCTACTGTCCTCGCCGACGAAGACCATGAACGGAAACGGCCTGGTGCATGCATACACGAATATCCAGACACCCATCGAGGAAGAGCCTTCTTATGCACAGATGAAACCGCTTCAGCACGCGAATACCACTCCCAATTTCGAGCATGCGATGCTGAACAATCGGCCCCCTCCGATGCCCGTTCTCCCGACCAAGAGCAAGAAAGAGCTCAAAGCAGAAGAGAAGGAACGTAAGGCTGCGGAGAAAATGGCCCTCAAGGAGAAGGAAGCCGAGTATCGTGAAGCCTCGCGCAAGCGCATGGAAGCTTACAAGCAAACCGAAGAGAACTTGAAGCGGGCTCTCGAAGACTCCAAGGCCACAGCAGCCGCAGAAGCCGAAGCGCGCGTACACGAGAACGGCAACGGAGAAAGCCACGCAGCACACAACGGTACCTCGGCGACTGCTACTGCTGAAGAGATTAGTGAAAAGCGAAAGTCTGGCTTCTCCAGGTTCAGCAGAGGCAGTATTAGTCTGCGAAAGAAGCCCAGCGTCTTCAAGAAGGATAAGAGCACGAATGGAGGAGACAGATTTTCTCGGCCTCCTATGCCTCAGCAACCGGAAAAGGATGCTGTATCGAATGGCCCCGTCACACATGAGGAGCAGCAACCGCAAGACCAGCACCAGCACCAGCAGGACGAGGTTCCTCCTCATTCTACTTCGAATGGAGACCACAAATCACATCCAGTGGTCACGACGGCGGATAATTATATGTTGAGTCGATCACCTCCTGCCGTGCAACCTCCTTCCACACCTGGCGCACATCACAGCCATGAGGAAAAGGGAAAGAAGAATCGATTTAGTCTTGGAAGGAAGAAATCGAGCATGTTCTTGTAGTAGTGAATCGTTGAATCGTTGCATCGTGAATGGATGGCTGAATGGATATCAGATGAAATGACCTTTTTGTTGGGGGAGCAAAAAGCATCTCGAGAGACTAGGTCTTGTTGGCCTTTTTTCAAAGATTCATACAATGTATTTTCACACACACACAGCATACACCCCTGGCTCCTCCTCCTCCTGCTGCTGCCCGCTGTGTGTTTCTGTTCTGTTCTGTTTCTTCTTGTACAATGGCCGATGGATGGCTCCTTCCCCCCCTTCTCTTTTCTTTCTTCTTTTTTTTTTGGTTCTAGGTACATCAAGGTACCTTACCTCCTATGCAATGTATATATTGTATACAGTAGATGCTAGCTAGGTACATGCCTGGTATATATATTATCAAACTAAGGTACTACTTATCTTACTTTACTTTTCTCTACTACCCTCACGAGAGCGAATGAAGAATAGGTGTTTCATTCTGGATACCTACATCTGAGTGCACTTTTTTCGGGCCTGGTGGATTCGGTTTTTTGATTTTGATTTTGAATATGATTTGGATTTGGATTGGAAATACTATCTGTTTCTTTCCCCCCTCTCTCTCTCTCCGTTTCCTCTCTCCCCCCTTCTCCCTCTCGGCTGTGATATCCTGTACTTGTTGCTGATTGCGCGTCATCTCCATCTCTTATCTTCCATAGTGAAAGCTCATATGCTTTTTTGCATGAGGGTATCCTTGTTGAACTTGACCTCTTTGTCTTTGGTATTGCTTATCGTGGCATTGCAGGGCAGGGCATGGCATATCCTCCTCCGCGGCGCGTGTCTTGGGTATCTTTCATCTTTCATCCTCATCTTCACGTGCACCGCTCAATCCATCCCATGCCATGTCATGCCATAATTATATCCTTTTTCTCTTTCTCTCCACTCCTCAATCTCTCTCTCTCTCTCTCTCCCTCTTCTCCTCTCTCTCTCTGGCCTCCTCTCTCCCTCTCTTTTGTAACTGATGAACTTCCCCCCAGCGCCCCATTTCTCAAACCTCATCCAAAAGCCACCGCCCAGATAATAATCAGAACGTTCAAAAAGATCAGAGGAATCCTCATCAGGGTTCGCACGGAATTGATCAAATTGCTCATTTTTGCCGAGAGCGATGTCGGGTCTTGCATGCCTCCTCCTCCGCCGAAGCTCGGTTCGAATTGTTGTTGTTGTTGGGAGGAACCCCAGCCGACTTTTGGGGGTGGGGGTGGGATTGTTAGTTTGGGGTTGGGGATGGAGAGAAGGAGAGGGATAGGGAGAAGAGCTTACTTCGTGCGAGGAAGCGGTCTTCGGAGAGGACTGCGAGGGAGTTTATGAGGAGGACGGAGACTGTGGAGAGGGAGGTTAGTTGTCTGTTCTTTTTGAGGGGTGGGTGAGATGAGGTTGGGGGAGGATCTCACCTTGGAAGAGACCGCCGAAGCTGAAGAGGAGGGTTGCCATGATGGTGGTGGGTAGTGTGTGTGATTAGTGGTATAATGTGCTGCTCGGTTTGGAAACCAGTGGGCGGTTTGATCAGAGGTGTTGGTTTGGTGTTGGTGGTGGTGGTGTTGTTGTTTCTTGCTAGGTCGAGTTTAGTGTGAGCTGTTCCAAAGCATCCTCCACATCCTCACTTGCCAAGAAGACTGTTAGTTTCTACCTCCTCGTCCTCCAAACTTTCGACATCCACCATCCATGTCACTATCTAGCCATTACAGCTGGCGTGCTCTTCAAATTGGCTACTCGAATCGACAGAGTCCTACGCATAGGCTCTCGAATGAGTCCAGGGCATTCAACATGCTAGGTCCGTCTTTCCCACATCTCGTTTCCCAGCGTATAGCTCACACCATTCAGGAGACGCCATCCTAGACCTGCTACTCCCATCCCTCATCCTGCTGCAATTGTTCGCAGCCCCTTACACGAAAGTTGAAGAATCCTTCAATATCCAAGCCACGCACGATATCCTGGCACATGGAATACCTTTCGTCAACAGCACCGAGAGTCTAGCCGCCACATACGATCATGTCTCCTTTCCGGGCTCCGTTCCAAGAACTTTTGTAGGCGCTGCCATTCTCGCAGGCATTGCCAGCCCATTCCGGGCCTTTTTTGGATCTCAAGAGAGTATCCAGCTCCTCGTCCGAGCGATTCTGGGACTGGGTAATGCTGCTGCGCTGTGGTCTGTAAAGAATGCAGTGGACACGGCATATGGCAAGACGGCTGGTCGATGGTTCATCTTACTGCAGTCTAGCCAATTTCATGTCGTATTCTACGCTTCACGAGCTTTGCCGAATATGTTCGCTTTCATCTTGACCAACCTGGCATTGAGGAGCTTGATTCTGGTCAAAGCTGTGGCGTGGAAGACTAATCGCAGCTCGAAACGGAGACGACTTGCGCTCTACTTGCTCACTGTGGCGGGAGTGATATTTCGGTCTGAAATTGCTATTTTGCTGGCTACGGAAACGATATATCTCCTCTATCAACAGAGGATATCATTCGCCAAGGAGATCGTCCCTGCCGGCGTCGCAGGTCTTATACTCGGTCTGTTGACTACCGTTTCTGTCGACTCCTTCTTCTGGCAACAATGGCCGCTCTGGCCAGAGTGGGTTGGTTTCTACTATAACACGGTTCTGGGCAAATCATCCGAGTGGGGGACGAGTCCGATGCACTTCTACTTCCTCAATGCCATACCGCGGCTGTTACTCAATCCCATGAGCTACCTGGTCCTCATCCCATTCTCGTTGCAGAGTCACATCAGCAAAGACATCCTGATCCCACAAATCGCCTTCATCGCCATATACAGCCTCCTCCCACACAAGGAATGGCGCTTCATCATCTACACCATCCCCGCCTTCACGGCCGTAGCCGCAGGGGGTGCAGGATGGATTTGGACCCGCAAAGCAAAGTCGACCATGTACAAGCTTCTGAGCCTCCTCCTCCTCACCACCACTTTAGTCTCATTCGCCATCAGCTCCACACTCGTCTACATCTCCAGCCTCAATTACCCCGGCGGCCAAGCCTTATGGCTCCTCCACCAAATCGAACCCGAGTACCGCGTGCCCGTCCACGTCTATCTCGACAACTTGGCCTGCCAAACCGGCGTCACCCGCTACCAGCAAATCCGCGCGCATTGGATCTATGACAAAACCGAGCATCAGGAAAGTCTACTCGACCCCATGTTTTGGCAACAATTCGAATACGCCATTGTCGAGAATCCTGCTCGGGTCATTGGAAGTTGGCAACGAATGGCGACCGTGAGTAAGTTTGCGGGCATCACGATCCTTCGACCGGGAGAAGACGAGGTCAAAGATCGTGTGGTGCTGTTACCCATGACGCCTGCTTGGGGCCAATTCGGATTCCGTCTGCAAGAGAAGTATTTGCGAGTCGTGGAAATTGCGAGACGGTTTGTCACGGGAGGGTATTGGCCTGCGGTGAAGATGGAACCTTCGTTATATATTCTTTGGAGGGAACCACCGCCTCGTGTGAGAGAAGGGTTTCCTATGCCGCCAGGATAGGTGGATGTAATTTACTCTGCGATGTTTGATTCTTTGAGCATGAAGTAGTTGAGAAACACGGCATACTCAGTAAGAGGTAAAATGCGGCTGCTGTCGAATTCATGGTCGGCCCAAAAATGTAAAGATGTACAGTATATATAGCCTCGACGATATATTGTGTCATTCAGTACCATATGCGGGTATATCTAGCTAGCATATCTAGCTAGCATGTAATGTCCATGACAGATATCTATCTCTATGAATTTGGCCTTTCGGTACTACTACAACAGGCGACGCATCATCCAGGAATTTGCACTTACTTCCTCCGACAAGCATATTGTAGCACTTACAGCAATGGGTTGGAGCGATACTCTGGCGCCTCGCCATTTGTGGGTGGCTTTGCACCATTGTCGCCCTCGGGACCATCTTGAGCAAGTTCGTGCTCGGCGAGGAATTTCTCGGCTTCTAGAGCAGCCATACAGCCAGAGCCTAGATTATTGATTTTCATGTCAGTGTACTTGCACGAAACGCGAGTGGTGGTGGTGGTGGTGGTGGTGGCTGTAACTCACCTGCTGATGTGACAGCTTGTCGGTATTTCTTATCCTGAACATCGCCTGCAGCAAACACACCAGGTACGTTCGTCTCAGTCGTGCCAGGCGTAGTCAGAAGATATCCATCCTCGTCCATGTTCAACTGTCCCTTGAAGAGATGTGTGGCTGGGTCGTGTCCGACAGCATAAAAGAGTCCGTTCGCGGGAATCTCCTCCTGCTCGCCAGTCTTGTTGTTCTTGATGACCATGCTCTGCATCAATCCTCGTGGACCGTCTTCTCCCTTGATCTCCACGCCTTGCGAGTTCCATTTAATGTCCACCTTGGGGTGCTCCTTGAGTCTCCTCGCGTTGGCCTTGCTTGCTCGCAGCTCGTCTCTGCGGACCAACACCGTGACTTTGCTGGCCTTCTTGGTGAGGTAGAGAGCCTCTTCCACGGCGCTGTCACCACCTCCAATCACGACCAACGGCTTCTCGCGGAAGATGGGAAGAGAGCCGTCGCAGACTGCACATGCAGAAACACCATTTCCCCAGAACTTCTCCTCGCCGGGCAGATCCAATCTCCTCGCCTTGGCTCCCGTCGCGATGATGATGCTGTCGGCAGTGTGGGTCTCGGGCTCGAGTGACTCCTCGTCGCCCATGGGATGTAGCCAAAACTTGAACGGCCTCGAGCTAAAGTCTACCTTGCCTACAGTCTGGCTGACAATCTCGGTTCCACACGCCTCGCTCTGCGCGCGCATGTTGTCCATGAGCGTAGTGCCCTTGATCATCTTGAAGCCGGGAAAGTTCTCCACTTCATCGGTAGTGGTCAGCTGTCCACCGGCAGCGATGCCGAGCGCGAGGAAACCCTCGTACAGGACGGGTTTGAGATCTGCACGAGCAGCATAGATGGCGGCGGTGTGGCCTGCGGGGCCCGAGCCGATGATGACAACCTTGGAGTGTGTCATTCTGGCGGTTTGGCTCAGGATGGGCGAGGTCGAAACGGGAGAAGCGGAGGCGGCGGTGGTGGTGGTGGTGGGGTGGGGCTTGTAGAGGGCTCCGGCGACTATGGTGGGAAGGGCGACGCTGGATCGGAGGGGGCGGAAGCCTGCTCTGCGAAAGGCGGAAGAAAACAGTTTGGCGGCAGTGAGGTCGATTGGAGGAGTGGAAGATGACGAGTGATGCGCGGGGATGTGAAGTGACAAGGGCGTGGGCGTGGGCGTGGTCGAGCGAGAGATAGTAATACCATTAGATGGGACATTGTCGGTTGTATTATCAAGCCTCCGAGAAATTGTGTCTACACGACAAAGCGCCCCACTTTCCGAGAGGCGATTTCGGAGGGGGCAGTTGGGAGATGGTTCTCGTCGTTCTCATCTTCAAAGGAAGGTTCTCATCAAATGTCATCAATATCAGTCATCAATATCAGGCTGAATCCTCCACCCGGCCTGCACGCTGGGTCTAGCTTAGTCATCTTCTATACACCTCACTCTCCAACAAACCTCAGTTACCTCACACACCGACAGTGAACACTTTCCCCTGAAAACAACCTCTTCCAAGACAAGAACAGACCGAAATCTCCAAAAATGACAACTCCCACCCCTCCCAATCCCATCACCTTCTTCGACATCACCCTCGGCGGCGAACCTCTCGGCCGCATCAAAATGGAACTATTCCACGACATCGTCCCCCGCACCGCAGAGAACTTCCGCGTCTTCTGCACCGGCGAAACCAAAGACCATCTCGGCAAGCCCGTGGGATACAAAGGCTCGAAATTCCATCGTGTGATTAAAGATTTCATGTTGCAAGGAGGAGACTTTAAGAATGGAAATGGAACCGGGAGCGCCAGTATTTACGGGACGGAATCGTTTGCCGATGAGAATTTTATCAGGAAACATGATGGGCCGGGAATGTTGAGTATGGCGGTGCGTATCTTCTCTCTCTCTCTCATCTTTGCTGTTTCTTGATATTTTCTTTTGTTCTTTTGTTCTTTTATTCTTTTGTTCTTTTGTTCTTTTTCTTTTTCTTTTTCTTTTTCTTTTTCTTTTTCTTTTTCTTTTTCTTTTTCTTTTTCTTTTTCTTTTTTCTTACATCACCAAAGGTCAGATGAAATACTTTTGCTAACTGCTCTGGTCACAGAATTCCGGACCAAACACCAACGGCAGCCAATTCTTCATCACGACGGTTGCCACTCCCCATCTCAATGGGAAACACGTCGTCTTTGGCAAAGTGGTCGAAGGTCTCGATGTCGTCAAAAAAATCGAAAACGTGCGTACGAAGAATGATGCTCCCGTCCAGCCCGTGGTCATTGCCCAATGTGGTGAAATGTAAAAAAGACAAGGAAAAAAAAACAACAAAGAAAAAAAAAATAAGAAAGAAAGCATATCGAAGCATATCGGACGAGCTCGATTCGCTCTACTACTGGGAGAGTTCCCTTGAACTCTACGCGGAAGAGAAAAAGTATGTGGATGCACGTGCGATCATGAGACGATTCAGTACCTACCAGTCCATCGCCATATTACTCCGATCACCATGAAAGCAAGGGGTTGGCTACATGCATTATTCCAACAATTATCACATCGCAGTCGAAACAGCGATCGAACGGAATCTGCTACTGCGCGAGCCAGTGAAGGAAGTGAAGATGTGGATGAACACTAGATTGGTAGGAGGTAGTCGAGCAATTGCAATCGGCAACTCATCAAGGCCCAAGGGAGATTGAAGACGAGAGAAAGAGAGAGAGAGAGAGAAAAAAAGGCAAGTAAAGTGGTAAGCACGTATCGTATCGTATCCTAGCCACAAATACTGGTGTTACGTTTCTTCGCCAGAGGGGGGGAAAATTAATACGCACATCAGAAAATGGCGCAGAAAGTTGAAGTTGAAGAAAAAGTATTGATAAGGTAACCATAAAGCCACGTGCCATTCTCGATATGTCAAAAAAACATTTACCCTCTTCCCCTCCCCTCTCTCTACATATTCGAACGCCTTGCTGCGTAAGTATATGTAGGTAGGCATGTTTTTTCTTTCTCTCTCTCACACACAACAACCGGAAATCTTGGGCCTCGTTTGTGGCATGCAGCCAAAAGATCAATCGTCATCCAACATCATCACACACACATACATTATATTCCACTCTTCTATCCGAAGAGCTTTGCGCAACCCCAGAATTGCTCAATGTTGTACGCACCCGGTGCTTTCCACGTGTCATCCTCAAAGGAGAAGATGGCTGATTTGCTTCCGACCTTGGCAACGATCGAGTCAATTGCTTGCTTCTGCTCGGCCGCGCCGGGAACAGCAGCACCGTTGGCCTGTCCGTTGCTTGGCCAGCCAGTTTCCAGATTGTATGCCTCGAGTTTACCACCGCAGCACGCAGAAAGGTCTTGGAGTTGTTGAGCAACGAGATCTCCAGCTCCGGACGCGCTGACTTGACCGTTGAAGAAGGGGTGCAAGTTCGCGCCGATGACGTCGACGACTGGGCAGAGAGTGGAGGCGTATTGTTGAATGACATTAAGAGGCTCCGTGGTGGTGACAGGACCATTGTAACCAGCAGCTTGCAAGACACTCTTGGCTTCCATGATAAAGTTGGCCATTTCGGGAGCCGTGGTGAAACCTCCAAAGATTGCTTCATTGCCTGCGACGACCATTTCGACCATGCCCCAGTTTCCATTCGGACCCCATTGGGCCAGGTGGTTGAGTTGATCGTGCGCGGCTCCCATACCTTTGCCATCGATGAAGATGCCGAGGATCATCTTCATACCAATTGCTTTGCAGGCTGCGCCAACATTCTCCGCACCCTGGCAGTCCGTAGCGTAAATGCGCACCGTCGAGAAGCCCTTGGATTTGATGCTGTTGATGTCATTGCTCACTTCGTCAGCAGACTTGCAACCACCGTCGGCTGTGTACGGGGTGTAGGTCATGGCCCATTTGTCTCCGGTCGGTGCACCTGGAGGGCTGACAGGACTCTTTGGGGTTTCTGGCTGCGGTGCTGGCTTGGGGGGCGGGCTTGGCGCCTCTTCAGGTTTAGCTGGCGGCTTGGATGGAGCGGGCGGAGGAGGTGGCGGCTTGACTGCGTCCTTTGGTGGTGGAGACTGAGCGGGAGGTGCTGGCTTTGGAGGTGCTGCTGGAGTAGACGGCTTGGGTGTCGATGTTGTCGTGCTTGAAGTTTTAGATGCCGAGCTCGAAGTTTTGGATGTCGAGCTCGTAGTTTTGGATGTCGAGCTCGTAGTTTTGGATGTCGAGCTCGTAGTTTTGGTTGTGGAGCTCGAAGTTTTGGTTGTCGAGCTCGAAGTTTTGGATGTTGAGCTCGAGGATGATGTCAAGATCGGAACCATAGTCGGCGTACCATACCAATACGTGGTATAGGTGGTGCAGCCACATTCAGTCGCATTTGGCTTCGGCGCCGACGCAATGGGCGTATGCGGCTCGTCGTGTTTCGGTGGAACTGGAGGGTACTGCGCAGGCCCGGCCGGGGTCTCAGGAGGAGGAGGACCGTAGGTGGGAGGTGACAAGGCCTTCCTGTGCAGATGGTTCTTGTGCACATGTTCGTGGTGCTGCAAGTTCGCGGCCTGGACCGAAGCCATCAGACCGGACGCGAACAGCGCCACCGCAGCGAAGTAGACCATGGCTATGGTAAGTGGTGAGAGCCGCTGAAGGAGTGAAGCGGCTGTCGTATAACGAGTGACTCGGGTAGGTGGTGGTGCTGGTGGTGGTGGAGGAGGAGGAGGGGAATGGTATGGCACGGCGACGACGACGACGAGGGGGACAACCACGCCGCGCGCGCAGGAAATTGCACCTACCTATACTCATGTCCAGGCATACCGCCCCTACCGGTCTGGCCAGCAGCGCGCTGGGGGCCGGGTGTTGTTGGCATGTCAGATTGTCAGTCCGGCGGATGATAGTTTGATTGCAGAGAAGATGGCTGCTGGAGATTCGTCCGAAAGGACATGGATAGATCGTCCCGTCGGGGTCGGGACGGGCCGTCGGTGCAATATCTGTACCCCGGCGACCATCGTTGTCTGTATACCCTTTCAGGCTTTTCTGCCTCCGCTTCGGTATTCGTTCACGCCCATAGTAGGTAGCGCAGAGGGGCGGCAGTCAGAAGTCCCGATTTTGTTGGGGCGAGAGACTTGCACTGCGGAGATGTGGAGTGGGGAAGCAAATACTAACAGAGATGGACAACACAGGAAGCGAGCGATAGGGTGTGTGTGACGGGGTGTGATGATGGAAATGAAGCTCGGCAGAAGATGAAAATGTTTTTCCAATCTTCGGAACCCGGCCATGAGCGACGGGAGTACAGCCTGTACAGACAGGTACAATGAGACTTCGACATGGCGTACGCCGTACGCAAGGATGTGCTGGCTCTGGAGACTGACCCCAAACAAACAATCATAATTATAGGTAATAATCAATGGATCTCCCATACTGTACACAGTGAGTGATACACTTACAGACTTACAGTACAGTACATGTATGATGTCCTCGTCCTGCGCACGTGTGTGGTTGTGGAACGTTGACCAGTATGCTCACAGTGCTTGTCTCATTATTCTCCGCACGACATGACTCTGTTCTCGTGGCATCGAATGCGATGCACGAGCTGCACGACCCGGCATTTACTGTGGCGTTATACTCTCCAGACCCTAACCGCTTGAGGCTGAAGCCTTCACCTGGACTACAGTACATGTAAGAGGTAGCAAAGGCCTGGAGTCGACGAATCCGAAGGAAACCTATCGAAAATTATGCTCTGCGAAAAATAGATACCCAACGTTTGACTCCATGCTACGAAGCACACTATACTGTCATATCTGCTTTGGTCAATCTCGAGTAGGCGAGCAGACAGACAACTTGACTGCAGGATTGCCTGGTATTGGCTGCATCAGTAACCGGTATAGCTTGGCTCGGTAGAGTCCTCGGTCAGCTCTGGCTGGACAGCATTGGGCGGGCGAATAATAAGGTACTTGGTACTACAGTACGGGTACAGGTACTTTGCGCTTGGCATTGCTCAAACGTGCTCATGCTAGGAGGTAGTCTTGCTATTTTGCTGTTGATGGTGCAATGAATGGCGACTACAAGAAGCAGACTCTAGGCCCTTCTCGAGCTCCTCCAGTCTGCTGCCATTCACTTTGGCACGACCGGGCGAGCAATCGCATCAAAGCAACCAACCTTTCTAAGTATTCGCACTTGGCCACGCTTCTGCCTTTTGTGCCACCCACCAATTGAGCCCCATTGAAAGACCGAGAATTTGACGACGGCAACCCACTGTTCACCCTTCCCCAGCGACGCCCCCACAAGATGCCATCACTTGCACCTCTTCTGCCCCGTCGAACGACGACTCCACAGGCCACGAGACAAGTTTGTGATCTCCATATGGACTGGGAGGTCACAGGTATTGTCTCGACATTAATATTGATTGCCGGTTATGCCAGTACATGCAGCAGTACAATTCTTCCCGCCCGGATCTCGGCCGGCCACCTCCGAATGTTGTTTCCCGCGCTCAAAGCCGTCTGTTCTCGGCTGTATCCAATACAACAGGTTTACCCACGCTAGGTACGGGTTGAGCGACTTTCTACTGTCCTCCATCTTCATTCTACTTACAAAGTCGTGTCTCGGAGCACTCACTTTGCTCGGAAGCTGGCCGCTCGATCACCTAACTTTCGACATCTAGTAAAGTAGCGCCAAGATCCGCAAGAGATAGGTGAAAGCAGCACACTGCATATGTCTGGGATGCATACTACATTCATCCATACTGCGCTGCTGTACCTATCAAGCAAGCACTGCGCCCTCATGCACAGCGTGGGCTTATCAGTCTTGGCACCCCCATATATTAGCATACTATAAGACGCCACCAGACCAGCTGCCTGTTCTGGTTGGTGCTCCGGAATCTGGCACATGAAGAAGACTCCCGTCTTGGTAGGCGACTGGTGTGGGTCAGTCAGTAGTAGAACTTCATCTTCTCTCACAGCATTCAAGACCAGATCTACTTCCAAGCATGTGGCAATCCAGACTTTGGTAATGATTCAATCACCACAGATGCGGTGCGCACGACATCGTTGCGGTACATCCCAAGTCTTCAAGTTTACCTCTCTTCACTCACATCCACTGGCTGCAGCTGGTCCCAAGCTGCCCTGCCAAGCCGCCCGATATTCATACCAAGCATACATGCAGCAAATAAGACAACACAGCACCGCACCAAGAGCAGCCAAGACTTCTGGTAGCTCGTCGCCATAGATGACCACCTCTACCTATTGTCTTGCTCGGACCTCCCTCTGATAGGAAGGTATCATCGCACGGCATAGGATGGCAATGGACCAAGAATCGCAATCGCCTGCAAAGCCGGGCATGGCGAGTGTCGTCTCCCTACACAACGAGAGGGCGTTGGGCCGCAGGAGGTGTCTTATAAGAAGGAGAAGGGAGCTGCGCTCTGATGAATGTACGTGCAGTAGCCACTTCTCTCATCACAAGTTGCCAACATGAAGGTCTCGAGTGTTTCGGCGGCTTTGCTGCCTCTCGTTTCGGCGCAGCTGTACACCAAGGAGGAGTACAGGAGTGGAGCTGTCATGTCACAGATGATGGCCGCCAAAGAGGTACAACATCCCCCTCCTTCACGAATACTCATCAATCTGATGCTGATGGAGCCAGGCTTCCTGGGCTTACCACCGAGAACGAGGCGAATACGATAGCACAAAGTTCAGCGGATATGACCAGAAGAAGGCGGCAACGCGGATTCAGTGCATCAACGGCAAAGCGGAGGCTGTCGTAGGTGATGCAAGCCAAACATACTCTTGCGCCAACATCGACATGTACGACTTCAAATCGCATGCTGAGCTCGGCAGCAATGGTGGCGAGGGCTCTGGCTCCTGGGGAGTGGTCCTCGAAGGACGAGAATTCATCGCCATTGGCCAGACGGACGGAGCTGCGTTTGCGGAAGTGACAGCGGAAGGCGCGCTGGTGTACCTGGGACGACTCCCGCAACAATCCACCCCCGTGATCTGGAGAGAGATCAAAGCAAATGGTCCATACATGCTCATCGGGTCTGAAGCCAACAACCATGGCGTGCAAATTTTCGATGTACGCCAATCATGCACACACAGCGCGGAGAGCTCATATGCTGATTGATGCACTAGATGCGCAAACTCCTGGATGTTGATCCCAGTTCGCCGAGAACATTCAGCACGAGTTCTGACATTACTCTGTTCACTGGTAAGGAGCGATCAGTCATGCATCGGGTTGACCACGTTTTTGGCTGACGGTTCCTCGTACAGACTCGGTTGGGATGCCGCTCGGTCGATCTCACAATGTTGTTGTCAACGAGGAGAAGAACTACGCCGTTGCTGTCGGTGCGGTACCACGTGACAGTACTTGCGCTTCGGGACTGGTGTTCATCAATATGGATGATCCTGCCGAGCCATACTCGCCAGGATGCAGCCCCCAGGATGGCTACATCCACGACGCACAATGCATTGTCGTAAGTGAGATTGAGTGTTCTCTCGCTCGGATTATTCCGCTGACTTGGGAACAACACAGTACCGTGGGCCCGATGAGAGGTACAATGGCCGAGACATCTGCTATGGCTACAACGAAGACACCTTGACCATTTACGATGTGACCAACAAGAACGGTACGAACGCTGGCTCCGTCATCTCCCGCACGCCGTACACCGGAGCGACATACACGCACCAGGGATGGGTCATCGACCCCATGTGGCAGACCCATTTGGTGCTCGACGATGAACTCGACGAGGGAGAGGTCGACCCCACGCGCGTCAACCCCGACAGTCCCGCTTTGGATGGTCTGCCAGTGACCTACATCTTCGACATCACCGACCTCGAGAATCCCGTCAACACCGGATACTACAAGTCGGGAGTAAGATCCGTCGACCACAACCAGTTTATCGTAAGTAGTAACCACTCTGATGAACATGACATGAGCAACAATAACAACAACTAACCAAAAACAAACAAACAGTACGACGGTCTCGCCTACCAATCCAACTACCAAGCCGGCCTCCGCATCCTCGACGTCAGCACCATCCCCTCGGACCCCACAGGAGACAGCGTCCGCGAAATCGCCCACTTTGACACTTATCCCGACGACGACAGCGAGCCCGGCGGTGGAGTGGCTGATTGGTCGTTTGGAACTTGGTCGCATTATACTTTCCCCAGTGGATACATTGTCATTAACACGATTGATCGGGGTCCGTTTGTGGTCAAGATGAATTCTTTCAGCAGGAGAGGCTTTGGGAGTCAGTATGTCAGACGGACTGTGTAGATGAATGGATGGATAGAGAGATACAGAGAGAGAGAGAGAGAGAGAGAGATTGATAGATGGAGGGGAGTTCTTCCTTCTTCTTCTTCTGAAGACTCAGACTCAGACTCAGACTCAGAATTAGATTCAGACTACTAGAGAGAATGAGAAGGAAAAAGAGGAATGATAAATTATCATTTATGAAGATTATGATTTGGCGAAATTCTGGGGAAAATAGAGTGTTAGAGAGAAAAAGGAAAAAAACTTCAATAATCATGCCTCCTCTTCGGGCATCGGCTCGTCTCATACATGTATTCGCGTGTACAACCACAGTCTACAGACTTTTCAGTGAAAACCAGATCATGAGAAAGTCTCCTGTCTAAATAAAGGCCTAGATGGACACCCACGAGATTCTCATATACTATGCGTACCTTATGTGTATATACTATTCAACTACACGGGATTATACCCTCTCCACCTCCTCATCCACACATCTACATAGCGTGCCGCCAACCCCTCACTCACCGGATCCCGAATCTCATCCAAGACCTTGGCATGTGCCCTAGTCCTCGTCGTCTCAAAGGTCAGTCCAGCTGTAACCTCTTCATCTCCTCTCACCTTCGCTGCGACTGCGGCTGCTTTTGATGCACCGCCATACTTGATCCTCCAAAAATCCAACAACTTCATCGAAGGATTCTTTTCCACGTCGCTCTCACTCTTCTCTAGCCTATCCAACCACTCATCTGGCTCCACAATGTCGAATTGTGGCATCGCAGGATGTGCCTTCAACATGGGTAACAAGTCATCTCGGAAAGAAAACATGACGGGGTTCAAGAGATGATATACTAAGTCCGGATCCGAATGATCGCCGTTTCCGGTGGCGGCATGTTGGACTATTTGTACAATCGCGTCAGCAGCAACATCAACAGGTAACCAAGTCACCGTCTCGTCTCGCAAATTGGGCAGACAACCCGTGGTGAGGGCAGAACGAATCATCAGAGCCACTGCTTCGGTTTCGTTCCAGTGGGCAGACTTAGTGTCACCGGATAATTGTCCGATTCGCAGGACTCTCGCGGGCAGCAGACCAGCAGCATGACGCGTGATGTGTTCAGTGACGAGTTTCGAGCGTCCGTAGCCCATTTTCTGCGCATGGCTCAAATCCTCAATATGGGTTTCACGGATGGTGGAGGGCTTGGGTGTTCCCGAGGCGGCTGAGATGGAGCTACAGAAGAGGAATGTGGCGGGCTGGGGCAGGGAGGTGCGGAGACAGAGATTGATGAGATTGTAGGTGGCACGGATGTGTTGCTGTTCGAAGCTGCGGACGCCAAGATTGAAATTCACTGCCCACGCAGCGTGGATGACACAGGTGAGATGCGAGAGCAGGTGGTTGAGGTCTGTTTGGGGCAGACCGAGGTTTGCTTGGCAGAGGTCGGAAGGGACGGCATGGAACTTGGCGTGTTCGGACGGGGACAGGACGATGTTCCGGGCGGAGAGAGACTGGAGCAGGCGGGAAGCGGCGTCGGCGGGACGGGCGGCGCGGACCAGACACCAGATCTCGGAGACGGAAGCGTCGCGGGCCAGAGCGGCGATGAGGAAGGCGCCCAAGTTGCCCGTGGCGCCGGTCACGAGCACGACCTGGCTCGCTGGAGGCGTGGTCTGTGTGGGGCAGTGCGGTTCAAAGCCGCGAGAGTAGCGCGCAATGAGCTCTTGCATGACCTCGACTTCGTCTTCCTCGTCCGCGGCGGCCTGCTCGCCGGAACGGAGTTGGTAGAGATGCCGAGCTAGATGAGCCACAGTGCCTTGGTCAAATACGATGTTCTGGCTCAGGGAGTTGCCGGCTGCACCGAGGTCGAGTTCGCGTTGGATGCATCGCCACACTCGCGTGGTCTGGAGACTGTCGACTCCCGCAGAGAAGATGTCGCTGTGGACATCGGGCAGCGCCACGCCCAGCTCGTGTCGGAACTTTGACAGCAGCCACTGCTCTAGCCCAGCCACGTCGAGTTGGAGCAGTGCACTGCGAGACTTGATGGGAGCACCGGACTCAAACGCCTCGTACACCTGACTGATGTCTGCCGCGAATTGCTCATACACTTGAGCGCGGATGAAGGTGCCCTTGTCTGTTCGGGGATACAGGACATCCGGGCCTTGGACGATGATCAGTTCCCTGGGGACCCGAGCAAAGCTCTCCGCTCGCGAGTTTGCCGCCTCAATGCTGGGCCACACTCGATCCAGATACTGTTCATCGTTCAAGTCAATACCGTGTGCGGTGGAGCGGAATAGCAACAGCCCGGGTACGGTGCGTTGATATCCGAAGATGACCGCCTCTCGTATCAGTGAGTCTTGCCGTAGGTCGTTCTCAATGGGTACGGGCAGTACTTTCTCGCCGTTGATCAGGGTGAGTCGATCGTCGAGACGAGAGAGATATTTGTAGTAATTACTCTTCTTCGGATCAGGATGTCGGGTGAACAGATCTGATGTTCGGAATGAGTTCTTCGGATTCTTCGGGCTGTACGGCGCTTTGCTATTGCTGGGTCCTTTCGAAGGCAACCCATCCAGACCAACACACTCAAACACCCCGGGAGCAACCTCATCCATCAGGGTATAGTCGGAAGCTGGCGGAAGTAGGCGCATGTACTGCCATTCTTTATCGCCGGGAGGGCGAAACGAAGTCATGATTTGCCCAATCTCAGTACTGCCATAGTTCGCCACCAGGTTGACACCTGCAGCGACGAGACCATCGCCAAGACTGTCGGGACAAGGCGAGCCGCCAAACAGAACAAGCTTCGTCTTCGCCAGTGCTGCAACGCCCGCCGCCTGCTCCGCAAGCAGTCGCAGGACATACGGCACAGCGCTCACTTGCTGGGGCTTGGCTACAGCCATGGCCTCCACGAGATTCTGACACGTGACCGGTAATGAGTGGTTGCTCAAGTACATGGGTGCACGTGTGTAAAAGGCGCGACCGAGCTCCATCAGACCGTGGGAATGGAAGAGTGGTGATGCGCAGAATGCTCGAAGGCCGAACGACTTGCGGAAGTTGGCCAGGCATGCTAGATTCGAGAGGAAGATGGGTTTGGGAAATCCAGTGGACCCCGACGAGTGCAGTATCCATGCCATCTTCTTGCTTTCCTTGGTGAGGTCAACATGCTGACGCTTGAATGCTGCTGGCGCCGAGACACTGCGATAGTCTTCCGGTTGCAACATGGATATTCGATTGCATCCCGGCCGATACTGATTGATTTCATCCACAATGCTTGCGTTGGCTCCTGCAACGACGAGAGTTCTGCTGTCGGCCATTTCCAGCAGACGAGCATATGCTGGTGCAGTCAATCTTGTGCTGAGGAACAGAACCGTGAGGCCCAGTCGGTTGAGGGCGAATATGCTCACGACATACTCGAAGCTCGTGGTAGCCAGCAACGCCACCACGGGCGCCTTCTCTGCTGCAGGGTCTGCGGGCTCCAAGCCATTGTGTAGATAGTACTGGACTGCAGCATCAGTCAGACGATCGATCTCTTGTCCATTGAATTCTTCAAAATCCGAGGCGCCCGCTCGGGGATAGCAGATCAGGGGAGTCTGTTCCTGTTCGGCAGCGTGCGACTTCAGTAGACCATCAATCGTCATGAATCGGTGGATGGGCAGGTATGTGGGATCATGGTGGGGAAGTTTGAGAGTGAAATGGGGGCTGGCTGTAGATGCTGCTGCTGCTGCAGCTGCTGAGCCCTTGACTGCATGAACGACGGTCTGCGTGGTGGTAGCCATCGGTGCCAACTAGGGACTACTGATGTATTATTATTGTGTTGATATGGCATACTAGTTGTATAGTAGCCACCAGACGGAGCGATGGCCACATATTTGACTGGGAAGTACCTAGTGTGGTTGTTGACGATCTGCATCCGGCGGATATTTACCCGGACCCTTTTAACCTTTTTCCGAGGTCCCCAAGCGCTCCACTGCAAGAACTGTAGCCGAGTCGTCATTGCCATGTAGGGAGATTGCATCGACCTCGGGGCAATGGGCAGCAGCAGTGTGGTCGAAGAGGTCGAGCATGTGTAGCTGACAGAGCTATGTCTCGTGCTTTCGGTCCAATCCATCGCAAGCCCCAAGCGGAGGGAGCTAGGCCCTGCTGTCAGCATACCGCTTTGAGCAAATGCTGTTCCCTGCGCCTTCAGCTCCCGAACACCCGATCGTGTCTCGTGTACGATCACTAAGTAATAATTAGGGCATGGTTTGTCTACCGAGACGGTGAAAATTTCCAACCCTCGAGGCTTGATCTACACCTCTTCTTGACCGTTGGGACACTGAAATCTCGGGACTTGTGAGCGTGGCAACATGCCCACAGGCCTGCTCGCGACACTTTCTTCCCTCGTCGTGGATGTTGGGTATTTCATGCGCATACTGTATCCGGGTCTTCTGTCACGCTTCCCTAGTACAGGCTCGCTCAACCATCCTCCCCGGAGTAATCTGCAGTCGATAGTGCCACAACCCCTTCACCTGCAGCATCTTTAGGCTTCCTCTTCCGCTTCCGCTTCGTGGGTGCCTCTGCGTGGCCATTCCCAGACACTTCTGATCCGGCGCTCCCCGCTGCTATCTGATGGTCGTTCCTCGTGGCCTTTCGCAGCACTGCCTTTTCCTCGTCTGCGTGGTGCTGCGCGGACTTGTCTTTCTTCGACTTCTTCACAGCCAACGGGTTGGGCCCTTTCGGTCCTTTCTTCTTCTGCTTCTTCGGACCAAGCTGTGCTCGTTCATCCTCATCACTATCGCTGTCGCCGTCCTCTCTCTTCCTCTTTTCGCCAACTTCCGCTCCCACGTTTCGCCGTCCACCGAGTCCAGCTTTGACCTTGGCTTTTTCCTCTCGCTCTCTCACGCCTTGAGTGACATCCGCCATGGGCTCTAGGATCATGACACTTCTCGCAATGTAGATCAACGGGACACCCACAATCGTCCTCATCTTCCGGCGCACCGTGTGATCCTGACTCGCAACGACATAGCGATGCTTATTGGTGCCGCTGCCTTTCGGATCGACGACGCTTTCCAAACACTCCAGCGCACTCAGCGGCTCCGGTAGCTCGTGATGTCCGCATCGCCGTCGCTCCGCCTGCTTTGCGGCCTCTATCCACTCGTCTTTGTGGGGATCGGATGGCGCATTGTAGAGATGGCGGATGCAGCACTGCGTGATCATGGGCTTGATCTCGCCGTGCAGTGTGTCTTCCAGCATTTTCCCCAGCTGCATCTTGAAGCGCGCAGCATCTTTGATGATTTCGGCGTCGACGAGGACCTGGTAGGGGACGCGGAAATCGAAGTTGAGCTCGTACTTTTGCATCAACTTGCGGTATGTTTTACTCCGTTTGCCCTTCATGGTGGGCGGACGGTGGAGTGTGGTGGATGGGTAGTGGGTAGTGGGTGAAAAAGTCGTTCACAAATGTGAATAAAAGTTCCAGGTACGGTGGTACTTAGCCTGCATCTCGGGCCGACAGTCCACCCGCGCGGGCTCCACAGTTTCTTCCTTTCTCCCTCCTCCCTCCTCCCTCCACTCTCCTCCCTCCACCCTCTATTCCTCTTGTCTTTTCCTCCACCACTTCTCCCATTCAGGCTTTCACCAAATGTACTAGTTGCACTTTCGAGGCACCTGAACTTCTACAACGAACGGCATCTGTCCATCGAGCCGGGAGATGGGTGTGAAAGCCTGAGAAGAATGGCTGGTTGAGATGGGCAGGCTACGGTTATGAAACTTGTCATACCTACCCAACAGGTGATCATGATGAGACGAATCGCACAGACAGGCGGGATTCCAAGATTTCCAGTCAGAACAATTCGTTCCGTAGAAGACCTAATATATCACATTATATGCTTCCCAACACCCCCCGCAAAGTCGTCTGTGATTATCTAAGCCAACTCGAGAGCATGGCATCATGGATGTCCTCTCAACATCGCCATCTCCCGCTCCAATATCATGAATGATGCATCTCGTGCAGCTGAAAATTCACTAGCAGGAGGTCACGATGCAGTTCCATCTCAATGGCTTCCAGGGCTCCGCTGATCCAAATGTTACCCAATTTCAGGGCCAGGAGCCTGATTACCAGTCCAGCCTACCCGAGGAGGTTGATGTACTGATTATAGGAGCTGGACCCGCTGGCCAGTTGCTGGGCGCGCAGCTGGCTCAATTCAGTGGCATTACCACGCGAATCGTGGAGAGCAAACCCGGCCGATTGGAGCATGGACAAGCTGACGGCCTGCAATGCCGGACATTGGAGATCTTCGAGGCGTTTGGCTTCAGCGAGCGTGTGCTCAAGGAGGCCTATTGGGTGAATGAGACGACCTTTTGGTCGCCCGCAAAGGATGGCAAGGGGCTCCAGCGAAGTGGCAGGATTAGAGATACCGAAGAGGGCTTGTCAGAATTCCCGCATGTGATCTTGAACCAGGCTCGCTTGCACGACCTGTGGCTGGATACCATGAAGTGGTCACCGACACGACTCGAGCCATCCTACAATCATCAGATGGTTCAAATGATGCCATCGGAAAAATCAGGCCCCACTACGGTAGTGCTCGAGCGCCTGGACGATGCCCATAGAGGGCAGCGGGAGACGGTTCGCGCCAAATACGTCGTTGGTAAGTTGTGGTAGTGATGTCTGATGAAAAGTCTCGAAATTGTCAAGGCGACGACATGTGTATTCGGGGAGGTAGATCGATCAAGCTTACCTTCTTGCCATAGGCTGTGATGGTGCACGTAGCAAAGTACGCGAAGCACTCGGATTAGAGATGAAAGGTGATTTCCAGAACCAGGCTTGGGGTGTCATGGACGCTCTCATCACCACAACTTTCCCTGATGCAAGATTGAAAACGATCATCCATTCCGAAGACGAGGGCAGCATTCTCATCATTCCGCGGGAAGGTGGCTACCTTAGTCGTTTCTATATAGAGCTGGCGAAAGTGAAAGACGGTGAACGCATCGATCGATCAGCTGTCACAGCGGACATGTTGACCGAGCGTGCGAAACGTATCTTTGCACCATACACTTTCGACGTGAAAGAGATAGCTTATTGGTCGGTATATGAAGTTGGCCAAAGGCTGACCGATCACTTCGACGACGTTCCAAAGACTGACCAACATCTGCGCGATCCACGAATCTTCATCTGCGGCGATGCTTGTCATACACACAGTGCAAAGGTCAGTACAGTGGCCGGCGCTCTTACAACTCCATCCCACGATGCATGCATCGAAATCCAAGCTAATCGCAGGTTCAGGCAGGACAAGGCATGAATGTCAGCATGAACGATACGTTCAATCTCGGATGGAAATTGGCACATGTGAGTCGTCCCTGATACCTGATAGAGATGACATCCTTCACGACAATACTGATCTCCAGTTATCGCAAGGTCCTTCGTGGTCAAGCCCCAGCAAGCCTATTGCGCACATACTCTGAAGAACGACAGGCGATAGCACAGATGCTCATCGACTTCGACCGCGAAATGTCAAGAATGTTCGCAGCGAAACCCAAGCTCAATGCCGACAAGGACGACAAGGACTTTGTCGATCCCACAGTATTTCAAGAGAACTTTCTACGTCAAGGTCGCTTCATGGCGGGCGTGGAGACCACGTATCAACCCGGGATCTTGACGAGCTCAAGTGATTACCAGCATCTTGCCACTGGATTTCAAGTCGGTACCAGGTTTCAGTCTTGTCAAGTCCTGAGGTGAGTTTCCAGACCGATGCATACCTACCTCCTTAAGAAGAGAAAATTTCGACAAGACCAGCCATTCGCAGCTGTCGATATATACCTGTACCTTATACACTAACCCAAATTCCTCGCAGAGCGTCCGACGCAAAGCCTGTCCAACTCAGCCACGACGCCATGAAAGCAGATGGCCGCTGGCGAATCATCCTCTTCGGCAACGACCAATGCGACCTGACTTCCCCAAGCTCACCCTTGGCCACCCTTTGCTCGTACTTGGAACACCATCTCCTCCCCCAATTCACACCTGTCACCGCCAACATCGACTCCATCATCGACGTCCGCGCCGTCTTGCAGCAATCCCGACAATCTTTCAACATGACCGATTTGCCCTCCCTGCTAATCCCGCATAAAGGTCAACTCGGCCTGCAAGACTACGAAAAGGTGTATACGGATGAGCCGAGCTATGGTTTTGGGTTTGGGGAGATTTATCAGACTCGCGGCGTGGATCGAAAACAAGGTTGCGTTGTCGTCGTGAGGCCGGATCAGTATATTAGCGCTGTATTGCCCTTTACGGAAGAGGCCCAGGGGCTGTTGAGGGATTTCTTTGGGGGAATTTTGATCAGTATTGGGTAAAACAAAGTGAGGTGGTATTGCAAAAGACAAGTTAGTTGGTCAAGGGATATACCTAGCTAAGGTAGGGTTCGGAAGAGATAGGAGATAACGGATAAAAGAAAGATGGAGGCCAGGGTGGCATTTTGAAGCCTTCAAGTTGGGATGCACTTTTTTGCGTACTTCCACCTAAATACCGTATATATTGTATCTACCTAAAAGTACCTACCTGATATATATGATGTGAGCATGCGAAGACATCATGATATACAAAAGCAAAAAACGTAAAGATTGTGAATCTCTCCATCTGGCTGTAACATTCGTTAGAATGAGTACCTTACGTTGCACATGCGCAGGTGAGTGAGAATGCTTACGAATCGAACCCAGGTCTCCCGCGCTTGGAAGTAGGTTGTACTTTGACAAGCGGCTGTGAGAAACGGTTAGATATACGAATCCATATGGGTCATGGGAGATGGGCGGAGGAGTCGTACAAATCATGACCACTAGACCAATGAAGATGGTGTGAGTGAGCAAGCTTAGCTGCTCATTGGTGGGAAGCGGCGAGTTTGGCAAGAAGATGTTCCATGATCTTGTTGCGGTGGCACACAAAACACTGATTCTGCGCGGAGTGACTTTTGCTGCCTTCCCAAGTGATCTCTACGCCTGTGTCCACACCACGCATGACACACACACGATTGTCGCACCTCCCGGCGCTTTCCACTGAAACCTTTAGGTACCTAAATATGAGTACCACCTTCACATCTCCGCTCTCAGAGTCACATTCCCTGCACCAGAAATGTTCAGTATGACCGTTTTGGTTCTTGCTCCGAGCCTTTGCGCAGTGCCCTGGGAATGTGATCACGTCAGATATGTGTGCTTCACATCGAGCGCAAGATGCAGCACGAAGAGCAATGTCAGCAACTACAGCATCATGACGAATCAGCGTTTTGCGTCCTGTAAGTTGTGCGAGTGAGACACCAACGGTGGTGGTGATCAGGAATGGCTCACCAACAAACTCCCCACGGCAATGACGCCCATCTCCCACCCCCCAGCCCACACCCTCCCTACAGCCATGGCCTCTTGCTGTCTCCAATACCTTACCGCCCCCAATAACACCATTACCAGTGCGGCACACTGAAAGATGATCGAGACGGGAATGCTCAGTACATAATACCCAAAGGTCGGATCCGGAGTAGGAGAGTGCTGCAGTCTCCATAATTGAGCAATAAACACTCCAATCATTGAGAAGGCGACCGAAGTCCGCAGATAGCCCAAAAACGTTCTTTCATTGGCGAGGTGGTCTCGACAGTCGACGTGAGGGACGGAGAGACGAACGTGGTGTCGCCAGAAGGATTTGAGTGGTGTAATGAAGTAGATGTGTTCTGATGCCAAGCTGGGGGACAGCACACGGGAGAGTGGCCGCTGGACGTCGGATCGATGGCGAGGCTGCTGCTGGAGTTCGGTTGCTTCTCTTTCATGTTCGGGTATACCATCTGGGATGTGTGCGGCTTCTGGTTCGGGAATCTGCTGTGCTTCAGTGTTGTGTATCTGTCTGATTGAGCCTGCGGTGGCGGTGTTTGGATCGCTGGTGAAACTCGGGTGGTGGTATTGCTGCGCTGGTGAAGACGATGGCGATGATGGCTGTGGGTCATCAGACGTTCCCATCTTGGCTTAACGGTCTGGTGGGTCCGTTCTACGACTGGTGATTCTCGTGTACTGTATGGCAGGACAGCTAGTACCTAGGTCAGGTAGTTATGGCTTGCACAGGACGTTTTCTGAGCCTTCAGCAGGGTCGGAGGGTGGCCGCATCGTGCACGCCTGCTGGAGGCCATCAGATACATGTACTACCTTACATCTATGATATATCCAAGATGCGGCCCGAACGATGCGGTATCGATAACAAAAGCCTACCTATAGCACAGAATCGCCCTATTATTTATTATTGTGCGTTGTCCCAGGCAAGGAAGCGTGGAACTGTTTCTGGGAAGAAGACTGGGAACACTCGCTGACAGTGACAGCTGTGCGCCGTCACACAGGGATGTCGCGCTGGCCGAAGAAAGGTTACAGGTAGGTACCTTATGTGGTGACCTTGATTCGCCATCGTCCATAATAACAGAGGATGAAAGGCTCAGGTACAATGATTTATAATGGACGTGTCTGGTATGGAAGAAGAAGAAGAAGAAGAAGGGGGCAGAGCAGAACTCGTGATGGAAGGCTCTGGTCGGTGCTGCTGGTCTTACTCTTGTCCTCTCGTCCGTGGTGTTTGTGCGTCAGCGACAAGAACTAGAACTAAATTGCCCGATGCCGCCACTTTCTGTCTGCCACACCACTTGGAACTCTGTCTCATGCCGACGCCCGAGTTCCCCTCGACTGCGACTGTTCCATAGCAACATCTAGGAGCCAGGACCGCCATCGAACCACCACCTAGGTATCTACCGACCTGACCTACGAATCAAATATCATCGCCGCCGCCAACGTCGCCGTCACCACCAACACCGCCGCCTCCGACGGTAGTGCGAAGCCCGAGAAGGGAAGGGCAGGGAGGAAAGGATTGGCAAGACGAGGGAAGAAAAGGCAAGATGGCTCCCTCCAAGTCGACGCGCATCATCATCCTGCTGGTGATTGATTCGCTCTTCTTCCTGCTCGAGCTTGTCACTGGATATGCCGTTCACTCGCTGGCCCTGGTGGCCGATTCCTTTCACATGCTGAACGATGTGCTGTCTCTATGTGTGGGACTGTGGGCTGTCAAGGCGGCGAACCGAACCGCGACACCCAAGATGTACACATATGGCTACCAACGTGCCGAGACCCTGGGAGCACTCGTTAACGGTGTCTTCTTGGTGGCACTCTGCGTGACCATTTTCCTGGATGCGATCCAGCGATTCGTAGAGCCACAACAGGTGTCCAACCCGGTGCTGGTCCTGATCGTGGGTTGTCTCGGTCTGGCGTCAAATATCGTGGGACTTGCGCTGTTTCACGATCATGGACACAGTCATGGTGGAGGTGGACACAGCCACGGACCAACGCACGTTGAGAACAGCGTAAAAGATGCGGAAGAGGGACATGCGGGACACAGTCACGACTCTCACACGGGACATGCGCACGATGGCCATGACACTAGCAGTGAGGCCACTGCCATCGCTGATGACACATCCAAGAAAAGCCCAAAGAAGGCCAGAAGACATAGCAGGTCAGCTTCACGAGGCTTCATCGAAGACTTCTCTGGACCCAGCCAGTTCCGAAACTCCATCATTGCTATGGGACAAGGCCGCATGGAGACTGTAGACTCGGAAGAGAACAGCGAGACTGAAGAAGAGATAACACCAGAGCCAATCTTGGGCGAGAACGAGCCGTTGGTCGTCGGCACTGCACAGATAGTCAGCTACGGTAGCAACGCAGCTCAGCGCAAGTCATTCGACCACAAGGATCACAAGCATGCACAACCCAAGGAAGCTGGCAAAGGCGGCGGCGGCGGCCACTCTCACGGCGACCTCAACATGAAAGGCATCTTCCTCCACGTCATGGGTGATGCTCTCGGCAACGTTGGCGTTATCGCCACGGCACTCATCATCTGGCTCTGCGAGTTTCCCGGGCGTTTCTACTTCGATCCCGCCATTTCCCTTGTCATTACATGCATCATCTTAGCATCTGCAATTCCGCTATGCAAGGCTGCATCTCGCATTCTGCTCCAGGCTGTCCCACAGGGCATAGAAGTCGACGATATCAAAGATGATATCGAGGACCTGGAGGGTATCGACAGCTGCCATCATCTTCACGTCTGGCAACTCAGCGATACCAAGCTCGTTGCCTCATTACACGTTCGCGTCACTTTCAATTTCAAGGGTGAAGGATCACAGCGATACATGGAACTCGCATCTGCGATTCGAAAGTGCTTGCACGAGTATGGCATCCACTCGTCGACGATTCAGCCAGAATTCCACTCGGGGTCTGAAGACGGCTCGCAACACGGAAACGGCCACAGCTCCTCTCAGGCAGGCTCACTCCGCGGTGACACAAGCTGCTTATTGGAGTGCGACGATGACTGCGGTGGTGGTAAGAGCTGTTGCCCTCCAAGCGGTAAAATGGATTCCAATGCTGGAGATGGCCACGACCACAGTGCACATGGTCACTCCCACTAGACGCATACATACACAAACACGTTTCCTTTTCTGTTGATTCGAGATACTCATGGCAATGTGCTGCAAAGCATAGGCGGGCCTAAATGGTGGAGAAAGACCAGCGCAGGCAGGCGGGCAGGCAGGCGGTCTCTTGTTCATTTGAATCGACGCACGGTGTTCGGCGTACAGTACGGGCGTTTTCAGCTCGGAATATAGGGGGGTGTGTGTGAGGGAGAGAAAGAGAGAGGGCAACACATCCTGGGGGAGCAATCCACAAGCCATGTCGGGAGACTTGTGAGACGAGATGATACCTTATGTGCGGACCGGTGGGCTACATGTACATGTGGTACTGAGTAAGGTATCTGTACGATACGGCCGAGCGACGGGATGTTGGTAGAAGTGATCCTGTATTGTAATGTTGAAACCTTCAGGCACTTTTCTTGTCCAAATATCACAGAGAAGCCCCACCAACGCGTCCCACCCTTGTAGCCCGTGGAGCGCACGCGTCTCCCGTCGGTTTGATTTTCCACTCTGCGCTGGACACACCAGAAGTCTCCCTTCCCTTCACTTCCCTTTCCTTGCCTCCCCCCCGCCTTGCACCATGGCCGATCAGACCCCAGCTCACCACGACGCGCCCTCTCTCCCCGGCTCACCTTTGCCCAAACGGACAAAGTACACCGAGGCTGCACCGAACCTCAGTGTCGCAGGTGGGAACCTCTCCCAACCATCATCTTATTCACAGATGTCCCGACTCGTCGCACTCACTCCCTGACCTGCGTGCGGTACATGATGCACTACTGAGACTGATACGTGTCTGAATGTCCAGCATTGATCAACGATCCTCAAGCTGCTACACCCACACCACAAACGACGCAACTGCCCAACCCGCTGTCCGAGATGTCCGCCCCTCTCAATGCGACCGCGACCGCGTTGCCCGCCCTGCCTTCCATGTCCGCCCTTGAACCGCCCCCGCCAGCCATTCAAGTCAAACTCCTCTCTCCCACCGCCAAGGTGCCGACGCGTGGCTCTGCATTCTCCGCGGGCTACGATCTTTACGCATCCAAGGAAGCTGTGATTCCCGCGCGTGGGAAGGCATTGGTCGATACCGACATCAGCATTGCCTTACCTGTCAACACGTATGGAAGAGTTGCGCCGAGAAGTGGACTCGCTGCGAAGCATAGCATCGACACGGGGGCTGGGGTCATCGATGCAGACTACCGAGGCCAGGTCAAAGTCTTGCTGTTCAATTTCAGCGACGTCGATTTCAAGGTCGACGTGGGCGAGAGAGTGGCACAGTTGATTGTGGAGAGGGTGAGCTATATCCACATGCTGCCTCCATGATGTGTATTTTCGGAGAGAATGACAACTAATACTCGCGCCTCTAGATCTACACCCCAGAAATTGTCGAAGTCGCTGAGCTAGAGCAGACAGTTCGCGGTGCAGGAGGCTTTGGCTCAACGGGAGGATTCGGTGGCACTCTGCCGACTATACAGTCTGCGACGATGGCAGGTGCCCCTCCCGCACCACCCACAGTATAGAACGCAGCGCGGATACCTGGAGCCTGTCGGTTGATCATTCCTGGTCCATCGATTGCATGTTGTGGTCCGCGAGGAGTAGGCGTTAGCCACAGCGCTTTTTGACGCAGTACATGTCGGCCAATGGATACCCTGCGGAACATGTGGCTCCGCAGTACCCATGAGCACAGAGGGTTTCTTGGTGTATAAGACGAAATGCAACCCTTCACTAAGGTACAGGTCAACTGCCGCCGAAGACTGAACGTGAGAAGTGTCGCAAAACAGAGACCGAGACGTGGAGATGATCACCTGGATCGAGGATGCATGAGCGCGTTTCCTTCGCCGCCGAGCATCGTAGCAGCATCAAAATACGCCAGTAGCAGAATCAATAGCAGCTCGAAACGAAAGCATGCAAGTATTGAACGTCTTCCCGTACAAGTAGGTACCTGTAGTTAACTTGACCTGGAAGATGCATGTGAAGGCTCGCCAAGCTCACTAGCGCGGTCGGAGGTCCGCACCTTGACTCCATCAACCCATGCATCAGGGCGTGTCTTGCCAATGACATACCTTAACTACCTAGGTAGTATACTACACACGATGATTACCAGACGCGCGTACACCGCGCTGAGTCTAGCGGAGCGACAGGTGATTCAATCACAGTACGCGGGAAGTGGGCAATGCGTGCGATGCTTCCACCATGCGCGGCGCCAACAGGCGGACGAGCTGCGACCTGAAGATGGATCTCCTGCCATCAAGGACAGTGCAAAGCGTGCAGAGAACAATGGTATATTTCGAGTCTTCTTCTTCGTTACCGTCGAGAGATGAACTAAAACGTCACGGTGAAAAGGACCGCAGATACAACCCGCACCCACCAAAAGAGCTCGCGCCCAAATCATTTCCAATGAAATCTCCGCCTTACAACGAGGTCCTCCCCCCGGCGACCCTACTTCGGGCCCCGGCAGTCTAGCTGGCACAAATCAAACGAATCCCTCGCCGCCCACTGTGAGCGCGGGCTTCACGGAGACTCCAACCAGTCTGGGTGCAGGAGGACGAATGGGCGAGAATATCTCTGCTGGACGAGAAGGCGTCAATGCACAAGGTGTAGGTCGATTCTCGGGATCTGATGAAAGAGTGCGAAACGAACATTCCAGACCGCAAGGAACGAGAAATCCACATGAGGTGCAAGAGCCTGCTGAAGGGGGACAGAGTGTATTGGAGCAGGCTTCTGCGCCGAGATCGTCAAGAGGACCATTGGAAGGCGAAGCACGACTCCGCTCCATAATGAAAGATGCTCGACCTCTGGGCCTCCCTGTCCGTCCCCAAGCTTCATCGGTAACGGCCCAACGTCTCGTGTTACAAGGCAGAGGCACTGGAGTCCCTTTGGCCAGTCAACCTATAGCTACCATTCATGATCGCTTCACACTCGTCACCAATCCTGCGAATAACAACAGAGGTCGTGGATCGCAAAGGCTGAGTCAGGCTGAGAGCGAAGCTCTCACCAAGGTTCTTGTTGGGGGGCAATATGACAATGAGGGTCTGTTGAATGGAAAGAAGATCCATGAGGTGGAGATTCTGAATGTGATCAAGAGACAAACGATGATGAATGGGACTTATCTGGGGAAGGACGGGGATCGGCTGGTAAAGAAGGTTGAGAGACTATTACCTGCGAGTAGGTAGTTAGTCTGTTGCAGGAGCAAGGAAGAGGGTGGTGCCGACCAAGAACGCATGATGGAGCCCCAAAGTCGACGGGGCTCGCATGATAGAGGGACGGCGCTCATGATCGTGCACCATGTTTGATTCACTGAGTGTCTGTTCGTATCCTCGAAGGGTCTGGTCTAGTTCCACGGCAAGGAAACTCATCATCCAGAACCACTCCCACATTCGCTTTGTTGATGTCACCTTGCCGGCTGTCCGCCCCGTCAACCCAGCTAGTCTGACAAGAATCTCGATGTAGCACATTGCCTCCCAACTGCATGCATGCCAGGACATGAGCACGAGACTTGCCAGAAGCCGGTCGACCTCATTTCCGAACACAATGCACTCGACTACATGTGAGACGCTCGCTCCAAGTTGAATGCATGGTCGATGGGATAAAGTCGTCAGACATGTCGCATCGTGAGTATAGTGCACTACTGACCCTCCAGCGGGTATATGTCAAATTGTCACTAACCCACAAACCCACCATGAAGTCAAACGTGTGGCTACGTCCAGCACAAGCGTAAGTCACCACGCCGCCGGTCCAAAAGTCTCTCCATCTCCCACAGTCTTCCTCACCGCCGTCCCCATTGAATCCATCGTCTCGAACACTTGGACATTTCCCCACCACTGCGGTACCTTTGCATTGGGCAAGGTAATCACCAAGAAGATTACTACGGTCGAAATCAACAACCCACAGTCGAGCGCCGCGGCGGTGAGATAGTTATAATGTGACCACCACCCTCCGAACCTGCTCTTGATGACATGGTTGAAGATGAGCCCCACGATGGCCCAACTACTAAACGACAACGGCGTCGCAGGAGGTAACCACGCCATCGCCCCCAACATCACCGGTGCATGTAACCACCTCAACCCTCTGTGATGTTTCCGCGGAACGCTGCGGAGCAGTATATAAAACGCCACCGGTAAGAGAGCGCCTAATAGCCAGAAATAATTAAAGGCGTGATAGATGCTGTTTTTGCCAAACATTCTGCTGGGTCCGATCAGGCCCCAGACGATACTGGAGGAGAAAAAAGTTCGGCCGTTGGGACAGGTGAAGTGGTCTTTTTGGGTGGCGGTGCAGACTTCGGGGATGCTGGAGAGGGTCCAGTTCATGGTGGAGATTTGGACAATGGCGGCCCAGATGGTGGCGAGCACTTGGCATGTGAAGGTCGTTCGGGGGCTGTGGGATTGGGAAGAGAGAGAGGGAGGGATGAATGTTAGTGACACAAGAGAAAGAAGCCGACAAGAGGTGGTTGGTAGGATGATATGGATGTTTCTGCTTACGGAATTTTCATGTAATGCGCAAACTTCAAATCAGAAGTATATGTTTGTGCTTGACCGAGCACAATGGTGGAGTAGACTTTGAAAATCATGACGCCGATGGGTTTTCCCGGGATCATGAAACCTCCTAAAAAGGGCGAGATGACGTTGAGCGAGAGGAGAATGTTGGTGATGCCCATAATCATACAGCAGGGTATGACGAAGACGAGGGCGAGGAGGAGAGAGACGAAGTATGTCCACCAGGGGAGTTGAGAGGGATAGCCGAGAACGGTGCCGAGTCCCATACCGACGGACACGACGAAGAGGACCAGATACCACCAGTCTGGGGCTTCGCGGTACTTGGCCATGAGTCGCATGTGGACGTCAGGCTCTTGATTTCGCGCTGCGCGGAGTCGATACCAGATCTCTTTGCCGTGGAATAGAGCGGTGTGGATGATGCTTGCCATGAGAGCTGCAAACGACAGTCCATAATTGAGGATGAAGGTGGGCGCGAGGAAGAGTGGAGAGTAGCTTTTGTACTTTGCTTCGTCGAATGTGAAGCCCGCCCCCATGACCTTGGTGACGTTGTAGGCACTTTGTGTATTATCGAATGTGGAAGATGTGTTGATGGGAAGGTAATCGGTGTACAAAGCGCCACTAAAGCTGATACCGATGGTCGCGACGATGACGAAGATGATGAGTCCCACGAGAGTGTTGAGATGCGAGAAGGTCGGAGACAGAAGAGGGTCGCCGAGATAGCCCGTCACGTAGGTCCAGTCCAAGGTGAGCGGTATCAAGGAGAGACCCGTGAAGCCGCCAAAGAGCTGATTGAGAGTGGCATTATTCGGTCGAATCCACGTCACGAAGGAGAAGACTGACAGGCCTTGCCAGATTACACCCGGAAACCAATACCAGACAAAGGAGGCCAGTGCCACATATGCAAAGTATCGATAGCCAGAGATTCGCCAGCCATTGGTCTGTGCAGGATCCATGGAGCTTTTGTCGTGCAGGGCGTAGAGAAGCGTGGTTTGGCTGAAATTGGCTGGCCAGATCAGTGCGGCTGGCCACACCAGAAAACGTCTGAATAGGCCGGAAATGGCAATTCCGATGACCTGCGACGAGAGCGTGAAGAGCAGCTGGAATCCCCAGCCCATGCTCAGATTGTATAGGGGCTTGGCGTCCAATGCGAGCAAGGCGTCGGTACTGTATGCATAGCCATATGTTCTAAAAAAGGTAGCAGCAGGTCGAAGAGTGAGCAATAATAGAAATGTCCTCGACCTGTTGTTCTCACTTACACATTGGCCATCAGGGTGACAACAGCGTGCTGTAGGACCAGACTCCAGTCAGTCATAGGCACGAAAAGGAGGCAGCAGAAGAAGCGGTTTCTCGTTACCTCTTTGATTGTAAACGGTCCTGGATTCAACGTCCACGTGAGTCCCAAAGTGTGGAATGTCTTTGCAGGCATCACTCTGGCCCACAAGCAGCCCACGGGGTACACCAGAAGCATAATGACCACGGTAGGAATTGTGATTGCAGGAGACCGCATGCTCAAAAACATATTCACCGCCGCTGCAACTGTGACGAAGAGGAACCCCAGAACCCAGGCTCGTAAGGTGTTTGCAACCTCCTCGCCATCGGTATTCCTCACTGCTGCTCGAACGGAATCATACGGCGAGTCTTCTGTGAAGGTTGTCTCCACCACGACCACTTTTTCGAGACTGTTGGTTTTGGCCGCCTCTTGCAGAGCTTCCATCTCATCGTCAGGAAGGTTTGGGTCATGTTGGTGGTTCTTCTGCAGGCTACGGATTCCTTCAATAGCTAGGGACTTGACTGGGGAGCCAGAATGTTCGTGGAGAGAATGGGACTGTTCGATCGTACCATGATCTTCGGATCGCTTAGTACTAGATATAGGCAACTTCATAGCGGAAAAGAGGCTGGTAATTAGTATTATGCCCAGAGTGAGAACGAGGCAGCGGGCAATTCTTGGACGATGAACAGAATATGGTATAATCCCTTCCTACGGGGATGTCGACCGCTATACTGGATGGGGAAGATATGATAGCCTACCTAGATAGGGCATGTCAGTCGCCCGTCTACGGTCTGCGGCCAATATTATCTTCTTGAAATCTCTTGCAGGCAATATGAATTAGAGAATAGGCCATAGTGGTCCGTTCAGTACCAATTTAGTTAGTTTTGTTACTGTTGTTGTAACCCTTAACCCTAAGTGAAGCCAAAGTGGAAGCGGGCTAAGCGGGCACTAGAAGTTCGTATTCGGCGCCGAGTCCCGACGACAGAACCTGACCTTACCTTAACTCGACATATCATGATCTATACCCTGTCGTGCGTATCACAGTATTTACATTGGGATCTATGTTGGCGCTGTTTGGAGACATACGCACAGCGTCGCATAGCATAGCATGTGAGTAGCCAAGACTCTTCCACTTCCCTGGGGGCGCATCATCATCATCATGGCTGGCGACGGTAGAGAGGCCAAACGGCGTCGCATCGACGACGACAGTGCCTACCACCACCACCACCACCACCACCACCATCACCACCACCGTTCCCACGACGACAACCACGAGCATTTCGCCGCACCACCGCCATCACTCACTTCCGGTCGCCGAATACCGCACGACAAGGACAAGCACAAGCGGAGAGACCGAGATCGAACACCGACCACCTCTCATCCCCACCAGCAAGAGTTTGACGGCCCTGAAGCGGGCGTCAACGACGACGACGCCGCCGCCTTAGACCGCGACTGGTACAACTACGGCGAAGATGGCGCTGTCCTCGGCGACGAGACTCACAACCCCTTTGGAGGCACCGAAGATACGACATGGGCCGACCAGGAGCGCGAGAAGGAACTGCTGGAGAAGAAAATGGCCGTGAGAGCCAAGGTGAACCCCAAGTTTCTCCAGCGACAGAAGGACAATGACGCCTGGGAAACGAATCGCATGCTCGCGTCGAGCGTGGCGCAGACGAGGGACAACTTCAATAGCTTGGATGACGAGAGTGAAGACACAAGAGTGCATTTGCTGGTGCATGATCTGAAACCGCCATTCTTGGATGGGAAGACGGTGTTTACGAAACAGCTGGAGCCCGTGAGTGCCGTTAAGGATCCGCAGAGTGATATGGCCGTGTTTGCAAAGAAGGGAAGCAAAGTGGTGCGGGAGAGGAGGCAGCAGAAGGAGAGGCAGAAGCAGGCCCAAGAGGCGACGAGTGCGGCGGGAACTACGCTGGGGAATCTCACGGGCGTCAAGGAGGAGGAGGATGCTGACTCTGCCGCTCCTGCTGTTGGGGAAGGCCAAGAGGAGGTCAAGCATAAGGGGAGCAAGTTTGCTGAACATATGAAGAAGCAGGATGCCGGGCAGTCAGACTTTTCCAGGACGAAGTCTTTGCGAGAGCAGAGAGAGTACCTTCCGGCCTTTGCTGTGCGAGAGGATCTGTTGCGTGTGATTCGAGACAACCAGGTGGTGATTGTGGTCGGACAGACGGGGTCGGGAAAGACGACGCAACTGACTCAGTTCTTGCACGAGGATGGCTACGCAAAGAGTGGCATGATTGGATGTACGCAGCCGAGACGTGTGGCAGCCATGTCTGTTGCCAAGCGTGTCAGTGAGGAGATGGAAGTGCCACTGGGAGGCACTGTAGGATACGCCATTCGATTCGAGGACTGCACGAGTAAAGAAACGACGATCAAATACATGACTGATGGCGTGTTGCTGCGAGAGTCTTTGACGAACCCCGATCTGGATCAGTATAGCTGCATTATCATGGACGAGGCCCACGAACGTGCATTGAATACTGACGTCTTGATGGGCTTGATCAAGAAAGTCCTTGCGCGACGGCGAGATCTGAAGCTCATCGTCACTTCAGCAACGATGAACTCTGAGCGCTTTTCACGTTTCTATGGCGGCGCACCGGAATTCTTCATCCCAGGAAGAACATTTCCCGTCGATATACAGTACTCCAGATCGCCCTGCGAAGACTACGTGGACAGCGCCGTGCGCCAAGTGCTTGCGATACATGTCAGTCAAGGGGCGGGAGACATTCTCGTCTTCATGACGGGCCAGGAAGATATTGAAGTCACATGCGAACTGGTGGCTGAAAGGCTCGCTCAACTCAACGACCCGCCCAAGCTCAGCATTCTCCCCATTTACTCGCAAATGCCGGCAGACCTGCAAGCCAAGATCTTCGACAGAGCCGCACCTGGTGTGCGCAAAGTCATTGTCGCCACGAACATCGCCGAAACCTCTCTCACCGTCGATGGTATTATGTATGTTGTCGACTGTGGCTTCAGCAAACTCAAAGTCTACAACCCGCGCATGGGAATGGACACTCTCCAGATCACGCCTGTCAGCCAAGCCAACGCTTCACAGCGAGCAGGCCGTGCGGGACGTACAGGACCGGGGCGAGCGTTTCACCTCTATACCGAGCGCGCCTTCAAGGAAGAACTCTACATCGCTACAATTCCCGAAATCCAGCGCACCAACCTGGCCAACACAGTCCTCCTCCTCAAATCCCTCGGAGTGAAAGATCTCCTTGACTTCGACTTCATGGACCCTCCTCCTCAGGACACCATCACAACCTCCCTCTTCGACCTCTGGGCGCTTGGGGCTCTCACCAACCTCGGAGAGCTCACCGACCTTGGCCGCCTCATGACTTCTTTCCCCATGGACCCCTCCCTCGCGAAACTCGTCATTACCTCCTCCTCAATATACTCCTGCTCCGAAGAAATGATCACCATTGTCGCCATGCTCTCTGTTCCTTCTGTCTTCTACCGGCCCAAAGAACGCCTCGAAGAAGCCGACGCCGCGCGCGAAAAATTCTTTGTGCACGACTCGGACCATCTCACTCTTCTCACCGTGTACCAACAATGGCTCTTCAACGGCCGGAGGGATGGCTGGTGTGTCAAACACTTCCTGCACCCCAAAGCCCTCCGGCGAGCCGAAGAAATCCGGCAACAAATTTCAGACATCATGACGTCTTCCAAAATGGCCATCCAGTCCTGCGGCTACGACCTCGATATCGTCAGACAATGCATTTGTTCTGGCTACTACGCTCAAGCTGCCAAGCGGAAGGGGTTGGGAGAGTATATCAATCTTCGGACGAGCGTGACCATGAACCTGCACCCCACGTCTGCGTTGTATAACTCGGGCGATCCACCGGATTATGTCGTGTATCATGAACTCATTCTCACCAGTAAAGAGTACATGTCTGTGGCTACTGCTGTTGACGCGCATTGGCTGGCAGACTTGGGTGGGGTGTTCTATTCGGTCAAGGAGAAGGGCTACTCTGCTGTCAAGGGTAGGAGAGAGGTGGAGTATAGCAAGAAGGCTGAGCTGGAGATTCAGATTGAGAAGGATCGGAGGAGAGCGAGAGAGGAGGCCGATCTTCTGGCGAAAGGAACAGGTGGAGATGCAGTGGGCGGGAAGAGTGCTGTGGTGATGGGCGCGAAGAAGAAGCTCAATGGTGCCAAAGGGGGTTCGGCAGTGGTGAAGCCAATTATTGGGAGGAGGCGTTGACGTTACCTCTTCATCCGAAGGAACTCATGATGAAATAATGGTTCCAGTGAGGAAGGAGGACTCCAGAACTAGATCATGTGATACGATCGGCTCGATTTGGCCAGATACCATAGTCTTGGTAATAATCAAGTGAAACATCGTTGGCTCGAATGGCTTAATGATGAAAAAAGCTCTCGAGGGTTTGATGCGTGGAGAAGTGGAATTACTGATCGTGATCCATAAATATCTAGTCAATACAGGTAGGTGCCCACATTATTTCTACATACCTAACTATAACCTGGGTCTCACACACTCGATAACAACAGAGTGCGGCCTCAACTTCCACGCATCCCAATAGCCACTGTCTTCCCGATCATCACCTGGAGGCAAGATATATGGTATCCATCTGATATTTCTTCTCATCCCTGCCTCCGCTTCTTCTGCAGCCTCTTCATACAGAGAGTGTACGCGAGCATATGTCTCAAACACCACATTTTCGTCTGGCAGATACTCAAACTTGCACTTCCACGCTCCCGGCTCGACTTCCTCCAGTGGTGACATACGAAGATCGTAGTACTCATATGGCTCGTACATGGGACAGAAGGAGTTGGGAACCACACCAATGAAGCGTCCGCCAGGTTTGAGATTATTGAAAATGTTGCGAAACATCGTGACCAGGGTGGAGCGGTTGGGTGCGCAACTCACTGTTGTTTTTATTACCGTTAGCACCATCATGTTCCGAGCGACAAAAGCACAGGTAACTCACGATACCAAGACCCCAGCACCAGATCAAAGCCTCTTCCTCCCTCTTCCTCACTCAGAGGCACACTACAGTCCCCCACACGAAACTCCAACCTCTCCTTCAACCTCTCATCTGTCAAATTCGTCTTCATCTCGTTCGCGCCTTCTACCATAGTCTTCGAAATGTCAATTCCCACCACCCTCTCTGCGTCTCCATGCTCAACACACCACCTCGCCCATCTCCCGATACCACAAGCCAAATCCAGCACTTTCAATCCTTTGACATTTCCCAGAGCTTTCCTGGTCGTAGCAAAGTCTATTGCACCGAGAGGCGAATCTTCCAGAGATTTGTATCGAGTTCCGATGTTGTCGTACTCTTGCTGCTGCAGCGGCTGTTGCAGCTGCTGTTGTTGTTGTGTAGGAGTAGCAGAAGGTGGAGACAATGAAACGGCAGAATCGTTGATATGCATATTTGTAGCAACACCAGTATCAGTCTCAGTAGCAATATCAGTGTCAGCAGCAGTGGTAGTATCAACTGCAGTATCGACAGCAGGAGCACTAAGACCGTCTTGCTCCCCCTCTGCCTCCAGGTGCACGTCCACGGCCGCCGACTGCACCAATCCAGCCCAATCGTCTCCTCTCTCACCACAAAGAGGAGTATCCAGATCCAAGTAGCCCCTCAACGTATTATCGTCAAAGGACAATAACTCGATGGGATCAGGATCAAAACACGCACTCCGCAACAGGTATTCTTCCTCTTCTTTCTTTTCTTGTGCCTGCTCAAAACTGTCGTAAATGTCACTGTCGGGGGTCGGGATGTCCAGACGGAATGAGAAGCTCTCGTCGTGTACTGGAATTGATTTTCGGTCGTCGCCCGCTGCTGTTGTCGCCGGTGCTTCCGGGGGATGAAGGGTAGGGAGGCCGCGGTTTGACAAGGATCGAAGTCGTGTAAACATTACAGCACATACATGCGTCTTTTCTTGACGAAGTGGTGATGGTGGTGTTGGTGGTGTGACAGAGGAAGGGTGGAACTGCACATATATGTGGTCGATACACACATAGGAGGTGTGTTTGAATGATGCCTGGCTGGTAAGTTCTGCCTTTCCAGGCGCCAGGGACAGCTTCGAACATGGGTAGCTTGATTGAGCTTCGTTGGCTCTGCTTACATGTACTGGAGCTTATTAGTCTGACAGCGGCAGCTGTGGTCCTGTGGACAGGAAGTAGTGTTTCGTTAGTTTCAGAAGTGCACGGGCTGGAACAAGGCTGGCTTTGGTAGCTTATTAGGCAGCAAGTTGGAAGTCTTGCGAAGCTGTCATTCTGCTCACTGCGTAGTCTGAGATGGCGTCTACCGAGTGCGCCCATACCAGACCCAGGGTACAGGAGGGAGTCCAGCAGCACTCTACATTCGTACAGGTAAATGGATACATTGTCGCTCTGCGATGCTTCTTACAGCACAGTCTGGGAAATACGTCAGTTCGTAACCTTCTTGACTCGGTGGAATGATGATAATAGCATACCCTCTGCCTCTTTCTACCAGCAGGCCCAGCAGTGCTATCTTCCGCTCGCTTGCTTCGCTTCTCCTGTGCATCGAGCACCAAGCTGAGCACATCGAAACCGAATTGTGGAAACTCGAGACACATTCTCTTGAACTCATGCTCGGCCTCGTGACGCAACACATGACTCCTGGTGGCCCAGAATGCGGCCACGGGCTTTCTGATGCTCTCATCGTCGACGCTAGTCTCCTTATAGACGAAACGCGCGTATGCGATCTCGCCCTTGGCCGTGGACTGGGTCAGGTGGATCTTCTTATGCGCAAGTGCTGCAAGCTGGGGAAGGCCAAATTTTTGTGCAAGTGTGTAGACGCGGGCGTGTCGCAACAGACCGATACCATCATTGTCGGGCGATGGCACAGTTGGATCGTACTCGAGGTTGGTGCTACCCTGGAGGCTGGGGAAGTAATCCGTCTTATACAGGTACTCGAGGACAGAAGCGATCGCAGCCTCGTCGTCCTGCTGCAATTCAATGCGCCGACGCGAGGCGGAATCGGAGAAGTGTGCACAGGCTTCGGCGAAGAATGGCGAGCTTTCCAAAAGTCCTTGGTGGGCGTAGAGGGTGGACTGGGTGTTGCCGGAGCCGATGATGAGCTCGACGATGGGGGAGCGCATGTAGCTGTCGAGACGGAGGTGGTCAATTTCCATGCATGATGCAAATCGCAACATGTATCCATTTAGATACCACGAGATATACATCGTCGTCACTCACTCTAGAAAAGTGGTGCGAGGTGGAATAGTAGGCTCAATGTCCTCGAGGCCGCCCGGCGCAGTCTCATCCACGACGGTTTCCACATTCTCGGCCATGCCCATCGTCTCATCCACCGCCGTATCGTCCTCGACCATGATCTCTCCCTCGGTGTCGGCCATCGCTTCGCGCAGGCAGACTTTGCGATGGAATGTGTGGCTTGGTCAATGGGTCGGTGTCGGGGGTGGAAGTGCCACGAGGGTGTCGTTGGATGCGCGAGGGCAATGCGACTGAGATGCGCACGTCGGCGAGGTGGAGAAGGGCGGCGGCGGTGGTGGTGGTGGTGGCGGTAGTGGTGGTGATGAACAGACAGGAATTGGGATTGAGACAGTCCTCCCAGCCACCGACCGAGAGCTGCCAGACAGCTACAGGACCTTAGGTGTAAGCTGACAGGAACAGGTTTAGCGTGCTTCCTTGGCGTGCTGATTCAGCGTCATTATGAATTAGGTTATTCATTACCCTTACTGTAGGTACTTCACCTACAATGACATTATTGAAAGTTCTACAGGTACATAGGTACCTCCTACTAGGTACACGTATGTACCTATGTAGGTATGTATATCATTGATCATGTCAATTGAAATTCATGTTGGAAGAGGGCCAAGAGGGCGCAGCGATGGACTTTCTATTCCCAAGGGCCAACTGGAAGTCTGGAACTGTGCCAATTTTGGCTTCTTCCCTTATCTACCTGAGGCACCAACAGAGTCCCCTATACAGGCTATATTCCAGGTATTTCCCTACCTCCCTACCAATTGTACGCCGTGTACGGTCTGTACCTACCAGCCTGCCTACCCACCCATCTCCCCAAAATACCTAGGTATCTACAGCTACCTACTGTACATAAAAGGTACCTGAGCTGTAGACTGTAGGAGGTAGTACATTGGGTTGAATGTACTCCACCACTAGTGAGGTACTCCAGATTCCAGAGTATGATCATTTGCTTGCCACCCTCCACTTGATCGGCTGCATCACGCGGCGTCAGGATACCATGATCTGTCATTAAACTTAGCTGAAACCCAACAGCGCTCTATCATTCCGGCCAGACTCCGCCAGATATACTTCATGTTGGTGCAGGCATATGGATAGGCCTTTCGAGCCATCAATTGGACACCACCTCCCCCCGAAAAACTATCTTTTCTTTTTGGGCCGCCCTCGGGATCTCAGCTATATTTTTGGTGCTTGTTGCTCTCTGCAGACTCTTCACTTATCAAGGGAATGCTGTCCCTCGGACCCTCATGCAGGGCAATATATAAAGGTCCTAGGTAGGTCGTGTAGGTGGAAGGCAGGTACCTCACAGCGGCTTGACGGGACAGGAGCTGGGAAGGAGGTAGTGTTTGTGACTCCCCTGAGTTCTGGCCTGCCGCCGTTGCCCATAACTGAAGACAGGCTGTCTTAAATGTCCCCCGAGGCCTTGTTTGCTACCGTTTGGTTTTCGCCTTCTACCATGAAGTCGAAACTCCGCACCAAAATGGGCAATTGCTTCTCATCCTCCACCAAGACCAAGACCGAGAGCATCTTCCACATCGCGCCCGCTACGATGCCCAAACTGGCCATACCGCGGGACCATCCCTCGCATCCAGAGTATGTTCGACCAGCGCCGCACGTCTTGCCCCTACCGACACCTGATGAAGTGAAGAAACATCCCCTACCCCAAGAAGACTGGCCGTCGAGTGGGATGACGGTATTGAACGAGAAAGCAGCATGAAGATCAAGAAGCGAATCGCACGAACCAGAATGAGACAGGTTCCAGAACCACTGCAGAGTCCTCTGTTTGACACTCCGCTACGAGACAGTCGCTCCTTCTCCGCATATGTGTGGGAGCAGCTGGAGCGTTTGGACGAGGCCTGTGGGGGCGCGGGTACGATTTCACGAATTACGACGGCAGATGGTTCGCTGGGACAGAGACGACGAAAGGGCATCCGGTTCGAGGGGGTGGATTCGGAGGGGAAGTCGATCCTGACGAGTAGTGCGGAAAGTATGTGTAGTACGTGTGGCAAGATTATCAGTTGGAGAGCCAGGGCCTGTAGATGGTGCAAGAGGGTTAGTAGTGGTGGGGTCTAGAGGATTCATGGAACCGAAATGCGACTGATACGATCATACCTACCATATATATCCCTCGCTGGTCGCGTGATATCGTATTTGTAACCTATGAGACAATTTTCCCCAAGAACCGTGCATCTATGGCGCGTGCTTTGCATTATCTGGTGATCGTGGAGGAAAGACAGGGCGCGCAGGAATACCTGAGCGGGTCGATTGTGAACAAATATCAGTGAACACCATTGAATGTACATGTAGTATACTGCGAGGGCCTTCTAAGCAACCAACTAGCAATCACTTCATTCACTACTGGCCTCAGGCTATGGTTCAAGCTTATGCTGGTGTTCATCCTGAAGTCGACATTGCTGTTGCCAGGAATGGCAATTGTCATATGATCTGTACAAACAGTTTGCCATACACTCCCTTATACCCGCACACCTGGAGATACCTACGGTAAGGTACTGTCAACATCGACAGCTTTTACGAAAGAGAAAACCATCCACCAGCGACAAAAGCCACCTACTCTAGCTTATCGACTGTTCCTAGTCTCCAAGCACCGACGCCACTTAAATTCCATTCGAATCCTCCCACTTCGCGTGGGTCCACCACACGACTATCTCGCCATGTGCACAGTCAGTCCATCCCTCTCTACCTCCCCCCCGCTCTCTCATGTCACCAAACCGCAGAGACACAACTAACCACCACTTACTGTTCATCTCTCCAACAGATGTTTTGCTCCATCGGTCACTCGGGCCCCCATCCAGGCTGCCACTCCCAACTCCTCACTTACATCCAACCCTGCGTTCCCAAGTCTGGCAAAGCCCCCAAAAAGTACCACTCTACCATGTGTTTTCCCAAGGTGTTGACCGAGGTTTGGGGTCTGCCGCCACAAGGTTGCAAATTGTACTGTGGGGTGTGTAAACGGAGCTTGAATATCACGGGGAATGAGGGCGATGATGTGGGAAAAGGGTGGAGGGCGGAGAAGGGAAGGAGGGGGTGGATGTTCAAGAGGGGTTGATCTGTCTTGTAATGGATGAATGGGATGAATGGGATGAATGGGAGTGTGGTGGAAGAAGCCGGTCGTTGCTCTTCGGAGACGTTGTGTGATTATATCTATCCACATTTGTCGATATGGTCCCACCTTACTTCAAGCCACGCCAAGACTTTGTTTTGTTGGTCCTTGAGGTATGCTTACGTCGGGTACGAGGTAGACGTGAAGTGAGGCGTGATGAAGCAAAGTCTGTTGTTGTGACTCTGTAAAGCGAGGCAACGAGCGCTGCTCTTGGTTCAATCATTCCCTCATCATACCTTATTGAAAAGTGTACCCACAACCCTCGTGAAGATCGTCACTTCGTATCATTCATAACTTCGTCGTCGTCGTCGTCCTCCTCATCATGTATGTCCATCTCACGACGGAGAGAGAGAGGGAAACGAGTGATTTTGCTCAACTCGCAACCTGCAATACCTCCTTCAGCACCCACACTTGCCCATTCTTCACCCTATTCGCCACTCTCTCCACCTCCACATCCCCAGGCTGCACATACGCCTTCCCGTCCTCCTTCACCTCCCACCACAACGTACTTCCTCCCAGACTCTTCACCTTCTCGCCCTGTTGCCACGGACTCACGGGCACAATGTGCGCTTCTGTGAACCTCCGCAAATTACGATGTGCTCTATCCTCGCCATCCTTGCCCTCGTAAGCATCGGCTCCGAGTGCAGCGTACTCTCTCGGATCTTCCCACGGCTTCCGTGGTAGGGCGGTGATGGCTTTATTGAGAGGCGCGAGGATGGTGCTATTGGAGGAGGAAGAGTCTAGACGGGTGGACACGGAGTCGATGTCGCGTGTGAAGCCGGCAAAGATGTTGAAGCTGCGGGAGTTGCCCATAACATCGGACAAGATGAGATTGTGTTGCGGAGGTGGAGGAGGCGTGGTAGAGCCGTCATCAGAGGAAGGGAGTTGGATGCCGGGCGTGTTGGTGTCGGACTGGTCCATGATGGGGACTTGCTGTGGCAAGGGGTGGAGATGGGCGTATGAGAAGACCGTGAGTACGAGGAGGGATGATGCGATACTGTATGTGCGCATATTCGGTGTCAAAACGTGAGGAGGCTCCTTGATTACTCCCTTTGTTAGTTATAGCTTGAAGGCATCAGAGGAGTGGTATGGATGGAATTGGCTCCAATTAGGAGGTACATGTATAGATGAACGACAGATGGTATACAACCTACGTTGTACAGGTCTGAGATACGTCATGCGGCTTACATACATGTACCAGAGGTAGACTTGTCCACGAGGTCAGTGCTATACACGTATGTACACCTATGTATCTATAAAATATGGACATCCTCAGCACCCAGGAGGTGCTTCGAATATTGCTCCAAGCAGGGCACAACGCGGTATCAGACAGGCTGATGGTATACTCCAATTTTCGTGCGCATCAAGGCACTTACTGGTGCAGTGCAGAGCAGCGCCAAGGAATGTAAGTGAATGGACATGGACCCTGTCTCGTCTCGTGCTGACGCGCCGCCATCGCGCTGCCTCTACTGGAGGTACATACACTTTGGAGCATGCGTGGCAAACCTTCCTGTCCTGCCATCGCCCTCTCGTGCAACGACATTGACCATGTCTAATCGGAATGATGCTGCAGGATCGTGGTATAGGTAGTTCTCAACACAATGCCATGTTCAGCAAACGAATTCCTCACCCCAAGTCCACCAAATACCACGACGATGACGACCAAGACTTTCCCACGCCGCCTGCGAAGCGCGTAAAACGCGACATTACCGACTTTGTACACCGCACGAGTCCCAAGAGCGCATCCAAGGTCAAAAGAGATGAGATTCCAGACTCGGAGGATGACAGTGATATTGAAGATTCGTGGGAAGAGCCCAAAAGACAAACCGACATTGAAACTGCTCTGCCGCCCATAGAGACAGACAAGGAGGCCATCCAGGCTTATGAGGCCCAGAAGGCGGCCGAGCAGGCAGATCTTGGCTTGCACGGCCGCTTAGATGGTCGAAAATGGGTTCGAGGCAAGACTTCAATCTATGTTGATGCCTTCAACTTGGCTTTGGAAACTGTGCTAGAAGAGGAGAGCCACCTGTTCGATGAGGCAGAACACGTTGTCTTCAAACAGTGGCGGGAGTCATCATACGAAGCGCAATACCTCTATGTCAGACTGTTCCTTCGAAAGACATCCAGCTGGCATCGAATCAGTCGGCTGGGCTACCACAGCGACATTGCAGATCTGCAGGCTGCCATCGAGGAGCTGCAGAAGCCAAGAAATCTGCCGCTGGCCTCCTCGCAGGACCCATATCATCCCGGTGAGCTGGAGCCGCCCGAAGGAACTACTCTCTGCGCGAGCTTCACCTTTGCAGACAGGTCACAGGACTGCATCAAGACCCTAGAAGAAGCGTCTTCATTGCTTCTGCTGGACGAACTCAAGGCAATCGCCAAAGAAGTCAAGGTGCAGGGTAAGAACAAGAAGGAGTTGCTGAAGAATCTGCAAAAGACGAGCGGATCACAGACCGCTTTGTCGCGCTTCGGCAGCTTACGACGGTCGGACACAGATGAGACCACAGCATCACGCGACCCCGACCAAGTAGACCATAACAGCCGCGAGGCCACTCCCGGTAGGCTCGAGAACCGTGATGCTCATTTTCTTGACAAAATAATGACAGAGACTGGCCCTTGCATTCGCCTCTCCGTAGCCGCACTCAAGCTCTTCGAGCGTGTTCACTTGGTCTTTTATCGCTCGTCAGAGTGGACTGAGAAGTCACTGACCACCATCATTCTTGCTCGGATAGCCAGACGTAATTTTCCCGAGTACATCGTCTCTCGCTCTGCCAGCATCTTTCCCTCTCGGTCCCTACTGCTGGAGTTTGAAGCGTCTGTCCGAACACAGTTCAGGGTTGATAATGTGCTAGAATTCAATGGGACGCCCACGAAAGAGACACTGCAAGAAATCCTGGGCCTCTTCGAAGAAGTACTACCGCGCTGGCGCACTTTACTCGCGGACGAGCAGCGCAAAGAAGACAGTATTTACAGCACTGGCGAAGGTGCATATCTGCGACGACTATCACCCGCCTGGGTGTATACACGGATTGTACACAAGGCAGCGTATGTTCTCGGCAAGCTCAAGGATCACAAACGAGAACACGAAGTGCTCTGTGAGCTCCTTGGTCAACGACTCTTCCATACCTCACGACGTGGCGACTGGTATCAGAGGAAGGCGCTACTGGAGGAGCATTACATGTATCTCCATCTGTCATCGCCACCGGCGTGTAAAGATGTGGAAGCCAAAAAGAAGCACTACAAACGAGTGGCTCTGGGGACTTGTGAGGACGGCTTACAAGACCAACTGACACACCTCATCTTCCACCGGGACTTGCAAAAGAGGATTACCAAGCTGGAGAAGAGTCTCAAGATCGCGAAGAGACTCCAGCATGACTTCGACCATGTTCGCTTAGCGAAAGCTCAAGAACGCTCTTTCGAGGGCATCCGCATCGAGCGTCCTGCGACAAACGCCAGTAGTCGTCGCAATAGCGAACAAATGAAAGCAACCGGCTTCCGCGGCGCAAAAACGATATGGCTGGACCCGGCATTGCTCCAGCCTGTTGACAAGCCTTCAAGTGACCGTTCTCTTAAGCCCGAAGAAGACGGGTCGTCTGCGGAAAGCGACGACACCAAACCTCTCGAGGGCGAATGTTCAGTAGAAGAAATGTGCCTCTCCTCCTATCGCGCCCTGGGTTGGAAAGGCTACCACTCCGAGGGCCGCGTCGTCCGAACCCTCTTCGCCTATCTCTTCTTCGACATTCTCTTCCTCTATATCCCGAATGTCTTCCAGACAGCTTACCAGACCTGCCCTTTGGATCTACACACTGATGCCTTTTACCCCAGCCGCATCAGCGAAGTGAATGCTCGACTGAATGAAATCAGTAACGGAGATGCTGCGGAGCACATACAACGCGTGTGGGCTAATCACCACGAACGGCAGACTTGCGTTGTGGGTCTAGACTGGACTTTCGAACTCGATGATCTATTGGAAATTGCACAGTGTTTCGAGCCTGCGGCATTGAGTACAGTCATGAAGGTTATGGTGCAAGAGTATGGACAGAGAGGTGGTGGAGTCCCGGATTTATTTCTGTGGAGACTGGAAAGAGAAGATGGGCAAAAGGGGGGAGGAGGTGAGGTTATGTTTTCCGAAGTGAAGAGCGAGAATGATCGGCTGAGTGATACGCAGAGGATGTGGATCGATGTCTTGTGCTCCGCGGGCGTGAGAGTGGAATTATGTCATGCTGTCGCGAAGGAAGTCAGGGTGATGAGATAAGGGAGAGTATGCGTATCAGCAAGAAAAAAAAACACAAATATATGTTTTCGAAAGGCTTCCTCGATCACGCAGGTTGAGCCTTGATCCCAGATCTTTCTCGAATTCCTCTAGCACTGACTCGTGCCTCAGCCAACAGAGCTTGCTCGTCTCCATCTACGAGCTTTCCCCCTTGGACCAGAACCTAGGAATCCATAGACCAGTCAGTCAGCGAGCAATCCCCAACCATGTCATGAATCTTGTCTCCAAGTCAGAGACAAACTTACCTTCCCATCCACAACCACCATATCAACATCCCTACCCGTACACGAATGCACCACCACCGTAACCGGATCCACTCCACCGGAGCCGCACTGTTCCCAATCATATGGCGCCGCTCCCGCCCCAATCGTGTACGGATCTACAACGACAAAATCTGCTTTTTTGTTCACTTCCAAACTTCCGACGTCATCCTCCAAGCCCAGCGCCTCTGCGCCATGGATGGTCGCCATGGCCAAGACTTGCTTCGCCGAGAGGCCTTGTGCGTCGCGGGCTGTACCGCATGCGAGAAGAGAGGTCAGGTGCATGGTGCGAAAGAGATCGTGGGTGTTGCTGCAGGGGGCACCGTCTGTGCCGAGGGAGATGTTGATCCTTTTCCTGTTGGATGCTGAGGATGCAGAGAGCAGTGTGGAGATGGGAGCGATGCCGTTGCCGAGTTTGCAGTTGGAGGCTGGGTTATGAGAGATGGTGGTCGTTTCTGCTGCTTCCAGGAGGAGGGGAATGTCCGTTGTGAGGTCGAGATTGACCATGTGAGCTAATACGGTCTTCGTCTGCTTCACCCCGTTTGATATCTGGCTCCGAGTGCAGAACTCCATAGGGGAGCAATGATAATGAGTTTGGTAGATTTCCAGGTCTCGAGGGGCTTCTGCACAGTGCATTGTGAGATTTATCGCATGTTGTTGCGCGGATTCTGCGGCGAGGGCATGGAAGGATGGATCGCTGCCTCGGGGCGTGGGGAGGGCCATCCAGATTTGGAGACGATTGTCAAAGTTGTTGTGGTAGATGGCGTGTGCCTCTAATGCGGCGTCGATGCTCATGGAAGCCACGTCTTTGTCTCGAGCATCAATCATGCCCGTTGCGGCGTTGGTCTCTGAGACTTTAACGAGTTTACCTATGCAGGCGCGTATGCCACCTGGAGAAGCAATACAGCATCAGCAGCAGCAGCAGCAGCAGCATATCACCACCACCACCACCAGTCCATGTATATCATGTTGGAGAGCGGGCTTACTCTCATCGACCGCGCGTACCACGTTCTCTAACCCCGTTGTATGCGTTGACATGGGCTCTAGAAAAGTCGTTGTGCCACTCTTCAACATCTCCGCTATGGTCAGCTTGGCAGCAATATAGCCGTCTGCGCCTTGGAAAGCAGCCTCCAGGGGCCATATTGCGGAGCAAAGCCATTCGTGCAAGTCAAGACCTTCTGCTAAACCTCGTAGCAAGGACTGGGCGAGATGGACCTGGAAGAGCAAAATCATACTGTCAGCCGATGCATGAGTTAGACCCAGAAAGCCATGTACATGCATGCGTATTGATCAAGCCAGGAATCACAATCTTTCGTCCTAGGTCAACAGTTTCGTAACTAGAGTCGCTGACTTCTGCAAGCAAAGCTTGTGAGGTTCCAATGGCGACTATACGGGTGTCTTCCACCAAAATGGCGCCGTCTGTGATGATGTCTCGGCTTGGATTGACGGTGATGATGGTACAGTGTATGTATAGCCGTCTACTGGGCATCGCCGTTGCCATTGGGAAGTACCTAGAGGTACGATAGAAGAACGACTGGGATCAATTGTACAGACTCATTAGGTAGTTCTCGATCAAGGTGATGTTGAGAGGTACTAAGCCGTTCATGCTATGGGGCCCCTAGACACCCTACCCTGTTCGCCTATCCATGGCCAGGCCGTCGCCCGACGACCGGACGTTATCAAGCTATCTGTAGCATCCATCGCCTCATGTTGGTGACAACAGACAAACACTTGCTCGTCTTCAACGATGATCGAGGACATCTGGAGAGGCACACACCATGTCGGGAATCGATCCAGCTGCCGTTACGAGTGAGAAGGAGCCCACAAGCGTAGTCCACCAAGACAACACCCAAGATGGAGGGCAGCAGGATGATATTTGGTCATCACGGGCGGGATACCTCAAGTACTACCTCACCTCCCGCCATGGCTGGATCGGAGATTACGATTACCTCTACCTCATCACGCCTAGCATTTGGCCATTCAATCAGCAATACCAAGATCGCTTGCCGCCCTTCTACGGCTTGAACGATGAGGTCCCCATTCTGCTCACTCTACTGCTCGGACTGCAGCATGCGTTGTGCATGGTAGGCTCCATCGTTTCGCCACCTCTCGCAGTTGCCGGCATCTTGACCTTGGATCCCGCGCTCACAGCATATCTCGTCTCGGCATCGTTCATCACGACGGGCGTTGCAACGGCTTTGCAGGTCACGAGAGTGCATATTGCCAAGACGCCCTTTTTCATCGGCACGGGTCTACTATCTGTTGTTGGTCCGACCTTTGACATCCTGGCAATTGTGATCAGCTATGCTGCTTTACGATACGACAACGGGGCCTGTCTCGTCGATGCGGAAGGTTCGCGGTTGGCGTGTCCGGCTGCTTGGGGAAATGTCCTGGGCACCATGCTCTGTACAGTTTGGACTCAGATCGTGATGTCGTTAGTCCCGCCAAAGACGCTCAATCGACTGTTTCCGAAGATGGTGACTGGGAGCTTGCTGCTCATGGTTGGTGTGTATCTCATCGGAAATGGAATGCAGAATTGGGGAGGGAGCTCCAATTGCAATGGCGGAACGGGATTCTACGAGCTTTGCCCGAGTATTGACGCGCCGAAGCCATTGCCTTGGTAGGTGACATTTTCCATCGCTCACGTGTCATCAAGCACAGCTCACGTTGGAAATATTATAGGGGCGATCCGAAGCTTATTGGCCTCGGCTTCAGCGTTTTCATAACCATTATACTAGTGGAGGTCATTGGCTCACCTTTGATGAAGTCGGCCTCGGTGGGCATCGGACTTGGTGTCGGTTGCGCGATATCAGGTGGCACAGGGTATTGGGCTCGCTCAACAATCGACGAGGCTCCTGTCGTGACATTCCTTTGGGTGCACACATTTCGACTCTCGGTAGATGGCACATTGGTACTGCCTCTGATGATCATGTTCGCGTGCCAAGCAGTCAGCTGCATGCCAGATATACTTGCTACAGCAGAAATCAGCGGAGTCGAAATCGAAGGCACCCAGTTCAACAGCCGTATACAGGGAGGAATTCTATGCGATGGCTTGGGAAGTTTCTTCTCGGCTCTTGGCACAGGTCTGCCAATGGTATCCCAAGCGGGAAACAATGGAGTAATTGTGCTGACAGGATGTGCATCACGACGAGCAGGCTGGTGTGCCTCCGGCATACTCATTTTGATGGGTGTATTTGGAAAATTTGGCGCCCTCTTTGCATCCATGCCCGCTTCTGTTCTGGGTGGGATGCAAGTCTTCTTGTATTCGACTATTACGGTGGCTGGGTTGCGAGTCCTGTCTCTGATCGAGTGGACGAAGAGGAATCGGTTTATCCTCACTGCTGCTCTGGCGATCGGGTTTGTCGATATCGTCCAGCCGACGTGGTTCAAGCAGGTGCTGGCTTACGAGGGTTCGAATCATCAGCTGGCCGGGCTTTTGCAGGGCGTGAATCTGATCGTGGAGACGCCATTCATCATCTGTGCAGTGATTGCAACAGCTCTGAATTTGCTCTTGCCACGCGAGCGAGCGAGTGCAACTGACTCATTTCGGAGTGCGGAAATGGTGATGTCGAGATGAGAAATTATAAGATATATCTTGGCGCTGTGTGTCCGGTTGTGACTGTGTAGGAGGTAGGTAGGGTGGTGCATGTGGAGGCCATGAGGAGGAGGGAGGAGGGAGGAGGGAGAGGAAGAGGAAGAGGAGGAGGAGGAAGAGGAGGAGGAAGAGGAGGGTCACGAGATAGGCAGGGCTGATGTGGGGAAGGTGCAGGGCGAGGTGGTTGAGGCTACAGCAGGCAGGAAGGGAAACGGAAGGATCGAACAAGAACGAAGGAAGGAAGCGTGGAAGCGTGGAAAGGAAGGACGCGTGGGCGTGGAAGGAAGTGTGGAAGGAAGGAAGGGAGGAAGGAAGGAAGGAGCTTGCGGAAATCGGAGAAAAAACAGCGCCAAGATCAGACACCACGCGCACTTCCGCGCATCCTGCAACCCTTCCCGTCGATCTCCTCCTTCCTCTCTTCGCGCATCAGCAAAAATAACAACTCACCAGCAGATCTCTTCCACTTCTCTTACGACCCGTCGTTCGATCAACATCGGAAGCCGTTGCTTGTGCTCAAGACATACAGCTTACTCCAGGCCGCACAAGTCATATTGCCCACGTAACATGCAATCCCGTTATGATTGCTGTACCTCATATGAGTGTAGCTGGATGCAGTCCTGGACGAAAAGTATGAAAAAAATGCATTGCAGGCCGCTGCATTGGACGAGTTAGCTGCTGTACCCCGTGAACATACAGCAAACATGAACGTCGAGATTACGCTGACCGAACGTTCCCTACCTTACCTCCTACCGGCCTATTGTACATACCTGAGGTCAGAGATCCCGACGAGGCGTCCTGCGTCCAAGAAATGCACCCTCCAGCCAACATTTCATTGCAATCGACGCACACCGTACCATTCTACTTCTCCCTCTGACCCCTATGAAGTGCTGCAGAATCGATTACCCACCTGATTTACCGCTGTCGTGAAAAAATTCCGTCCAAAACGACGTGGAAGGACTCCATCCCAGGTGCATCAAATACAGGATTCCGCCATCACATTCGTCATCTGCGCCACCGTCTTCGTTTCTGGAGCCGAATCGGCCAATTCAGCATACCTACCTGTGTACCTGTGCTACCTCCATGTAGAAGGTGGTGTCCGCCTCGATTCTAGATTGGCGTGGCCAGATGATCCTTCGAGCGAGACTTCCAAACGACCTTCTCCGCTCCTACTGCCCTACTGCCCCCTTGCTCTATGCGAGCCGTCTCTGGAAGTCTAATCCCCTCGCCGCTCCCGCTGTAGAGGCAGTGTCAGATGGTACTCACAAGAATCGCGTCGCTTGGCGAGCAGCCTCATTGATCGGGATATGGCTGCAGTACCAAGTGGCGAGAAGCTGGTGTGGCATCCACGGTCCTGGTATCTCTCGTCGAACCCCCATGCCTAATGTCGCGAAAAACTAAAACTCATTTTTCTGGCTTGCAGTCGCCGCGTTCTGCAAATCTTCACCTGCCGTCCTGTTCGGTCATCTGCCATCGATTGGTATGACACATCCCTTCTGGACTGTACATGTGATGATCATGCAACAGATATGACCCACCCCATAGATCGAAAACAAGCTACCTACTTATCCGGACATTCTTGGCAATACAAAGGGGAACCATCGGTCCTACGCCTTGCAATTTGGCGTCGGAAAAGTGGGTATCAGCGCGATGAAACGAGATTTTCAACGATGCACTTCTACAACTCCAATCCATCGAAGATACACACTCCTAGCTGCACCGAGATGGGAGTCCAGCACTTGTGGTGCGATCAAACAGGCCCCTAAGCATCCAGATCCGGATTTAATGTTGACAGAACATACTTTCTACACATGAAATACGACAAGTCACTGCTCGTGTGAATGACCGTCTCTCTACTCTCTGTACCGACTTGACCGGTCACGCGACTTCGCAAGACCGCACTTCACTTGGCTCGGTTGGCACTTCTGAAGCGAGCGCAGATGGACTATGTAAGATTCCAATCGATTGGTGCTACTGATGCTTGATGTAGGCGGCATCACATCTAACGTGCATAATGGGGTCCGTGCCAACTGGTTGTTGGGCCTAAGCGGCACGCGCACACCTGTATGACTGGAGATCTGGTTGGTTGCGGGCGCTACAACAATTTCGAGGTGGCTCGAAGCTCAAAAGCCACCGAACATGGCCGAATCTGGTAACAGGTACACAGATACCAGGACAGAAGCGGTTCAGCTGCATCGTGCAATAACCTGGTTCCCAAAAACGCTAGAAACGCACAATGCGCAATTTTGTACAATCGCAACCGTCCCTGCGTCCGGATCGCTTTCCGACAGCCCCTGCGCGGAAGGATTGCAGCTAGCCCCGACAAAGTTTGCAGACCGAGACATGGCAACAACCACATCTCGCACTGTCGCACAAATCTGCTGGTGCTGTCTGTCTATACCAGGTCTGCAGCGCTCTGGATATTGTTCTCCGTGGCCACTTTCATGACGCGGGATGCTTGGAAGCGGTTGGTCATGGCATCTATTCAGCTCTGGCCTTTCACTTAGGACGAGCTGGTACCCGACCTGGTGGAGAGGAGTATCTCCACGGTTGAAAAGTACGATCCTTTGGGAGCTAGCAACAATTTGACAGCCTGGACCTTATGTCACTGGAGCACCAAGATCGATTGCGATGAGATTCATCACAAGCGTGATGCGAAGCTGTCTGCTCGGGGCGTTGATTGGCCGGCCTATGTGAGTGGTGTGAGTGGTGTGAGTGGTGTGAGTGATGTGAGTGATGTGAGCAGCTCATTCTTCGTTCACTTGTTGTCTTTGCTCGGCACGACCTCAGCCACTGTGCCCTAGGCTTCGATCGACACGCATTGCTGACCACCTGCACGTTGTCCCAAGTCACGACTGTCTGTCTGTACGGTTTGGCCAATCTAAATCGCTATGGGCCTTTTGATCAGCGCTAACATTGAGCTGTGGAGTTCCAGAGTCATTTGCCACGCTATGGAAACCGGTTGATCTCCAAGATCTAGGAGGTAGCTTCTCAAGTCTACGCACTGCCTGTAGATGACTCTCGATCTGGACACACATACCCGTTTCTGTCTCTCTATCAAGCCGAAGAATCTGCATGTACAGGCGCTGGGATCCGTCTGGGCAGTCGATTTGGTTGCGAACTCAATCTCATCTGGCCTCGTCCATGCAGCCCAGGGGCCAGGGGCTCATCTGGTTGCTGCGCCATGACCTCAGTCGTTAGCCTCCGATCACAGATCCGAGTCCAGACTATGCCAGCAGAGAATTATTCTCAGACTCAGTGCTCTCAGAAGCTATAGCATATAAGCGCTCGTATCCCACTGCAAATGGCTTCTATACACATACATATTATCAGTTCAATTTGAGATCAACTCCATCAAACGTCGGTCAACATGCTGCTGCTCTCGTTTCTGACAGCTATTATCGCTTCGGGTCCTCCAGCAACCGCAGCAGCATCATTGCTCGAGACTCGACAGTCTACTCCTGCCTCTGCTGTATGCTCCAACTATAATGGCACATACAAGCTCACGAACATCACCGCACCAGTTAGGGGGCTTGGTACCCAACCCGCGGGCAGTCAGCCTTGGGGCCTCTTCCTGAACGACACGGCTGCCGCATATCGTCAAAACGTGACCGGATTCGGCGCAGCGGTCACGGATGCCACCGTTGTCAACTTCAATCGACTTACAAGCGCTCAACAGACGTCGTTGTTGAATGTGCTGATGACAGCTGGTCCATCGAATTCGGCAAATTTCTCGTTGATGCGGCATACTATTGGAAGTTCGGATTTGAGCGCAACCAACTACACATATAACGATGGAGCGAGGGATCCTAGCCTGGCAAACTTTGCTCTCGGACCGAATGGTACTGCCATGGCTAGCCTGCTGGCGAAGATGCGTACCTCTGCACCTGCAATGACACTGCTCGGCTCCGCATGGAGTGCCCCAGGCTGGATGAAACGAAACGGTGCCCTGACGGGCAACGCTACGAACAACAACTTGCTGGACAGATACCTCGACCCGACGGAAGATAACCTAGCAGACCCCTATGCAAATTACTTCGTGAAGTACCTCCAAGCATATGCCAATGCAGGTGCTCCAGTCAACGCCATTACGATACAAAACGAGCCATTGTTTTCGACTGCCTCCTACCCATCCATGTACGTGTATGATTACGAGAATGCGGCATTGATTCAGAAGTTTGTGGGGCCAGCTATTACGAGAGCAAGTCTCAATACCCAGATCTGGGGCTACGATCACAATCTTGATCAGCCCGTATACGCGCAGAGGATCCTGGACAACGCTCCTGTCAACACTATAGCATGGCACTGCTACTCTTCCCAACCATGGAGCGTAATGTCAGACTTCAAGGCCAACAACACTGGTGTTATACAGTACATGACTGAATGCTGGACTCCGTCTTCGCAGCCGTGGTACAATGCCGCGGCTTTCACTTTGGGACCATTGCAGAACTGGGGATCGGGCGCTATCGCGTGGAATCTCGCGTCTGATGTGAACAATGGCCCTTATATCTATGGTGGCTGTTCTAGTTGCCAAGGTCTAGTTACCGTCAGAAACGACCGAACATATACATTGAATACGGCCTACTATATGATGGCGCAGTTCAGCAGATATATGCCCAAGGGATCAACAGTCGTGCCTTTGACAGGTAATGGTGGAAACGGAAATGGGGATGTGCAGAGTATTGCTACCGTCAACCCAAATGGTAGTCGGACTGTTGTGATACTGAACACTTTTGCGAACCCCGTATTCATGCAAATGAACACGACTAGCGGCACAGTCTGGAGTGGCTCCCTGCCGCCCTCGAGTGTAGTTACATGGGTGCTGCCTAGGGCATAGTACGTAACAGCAACGCAGTGTTTGAGATTTGCCGAGTTGTTGGCTAGGATACTTGGTATATAACGTCGTTCTTTACAATAGTGTAGCTATAATTATCTAGACAGAATTTCCTTATACGTTAGCCTGATAAATTACTCGCATGCCCTAGTGTAAAAACACGCTGGTTAGAACATACGCTCCGATTCATTTCGTACCCCTATACAGATTAGGCCCTGTCTGCTTTGGCAGTTATTCTGTCGGCATCAGGTATGTCGATAATTTCCGGTCGCTATCCACCCGAGCTGTCTTCTTAGGGCCTGTTCAATAAGGTATCGACCAACCTGCGACAGGTCAGTCGACATGTTCTGCGACCTGCGAAATTCGCGCTAAACGGCGTATGTCGTACTCTCTTAACTCTCGTAGGTTTCCGATAGTGCTAGAGAACCTGCCGTATCGTTCGTAGGGTATATTGTTCAATAGTTGGTTTATAAGGTAGTAGTATAACTTACTGACTACTACGGGTATACCTATATATAAATATCCGTATACTATATCTCGTATACTATATATCTATACTATCCTTTTCTATTAATCGTTGCAGGTATCTGTACGTAGCGTCCGTACGTAGTATCCGTACCGTACGTAGTGTCCGTACGCTACGTCTATATAATACGACTACTACGTATACTTCAAGATAGCATTTAATGCTTCGATTACGCTATTTGTAGCCCTCTACTATTAGAACTTACTATATACTATACATTATACCCTATATACCTCGTACAAAGCGTAATACTAGCAAGTTACAAAACTAGCTCTTTAACGAGAAGGCGGACCGTAATGCGGTAGCACTGCGAGCGGCTAAGGCAATAACTATAGAGGACATCTCTCTGCCTCTACTAAAGCGTCCTACTATTCCTACTAGAGCATCTTCCTAGTCCTAACTATATACTCTTACTTAGGACGATTATACTAGTCCGCGGGACTAGTCGCCGTTACCTACTCCGCCCTCGCCGCCTCTAGGAGATAGTATAGGCAGTTTTAGTAAGAGCTAGCCTCCTTAACTATATAACGGTACTATAGTCGACGACCTCTCCTCCTAAGACCTAGTCGATTATGCTCTAGACGACGAGGATAGTAGGGATAGTAAAGAGGGCAGAGATAGCAGTACTAAGGATATAGTAGAGATATAGGTAGATAGTAGTTAGAAGAGGGTATAGCGGTCTAAGTTTCTATAGGATAAAGAGCGTCGCCTCGAGCTTATTAGTTTGAAGCTGTACTCAGACTTTATATATATAAATCGCTATAGAGCTAGAGGGTTAAGGGGTAATAAGAAGGCTACTATTGTAGTAGCAGTTATAAAGGGTACAAGGCAGATATACCCTAAGTAGGAATTAGCCCTAGTTTTCTCTTAAGTTAAGACCAAATTCGATTAGTACTAATACAAGACAACTACTATCGAGCGCCTCCTTAAGGTAAGCGGCTTTAGTATAGATTAGAAGGTTAGTATTGTCTCTATAGCGAATGTTATATAGACTAAATACCTTAGTATAGACAGTTATAAGGAAGCTCGTTAGTTACGTAACAATCCTCTGCCTAGAATTAAGTAGTATCGGAATATATAGAGGACGAAGACTGTAACTGGAGAGTATACTATAGATAGAGCAATAGTAGCAATAGGTATAGCAAAGGCCAAATAGTCTACGAAGCGTAAGCGTACTACTAAGTATAAGCACCCGGTCGAGCGGGTACGAGCTGTCTCCGTTGCTCTAGAATATAAGCAAATTAAGCCTATCGACGAATAAGAGGAAGCAGATAATCCTAATACCCCGGGCCTATCTAGTATACGAACCCGACGTACCGTAGCTATACCTATCCTATCTAAGAAAGAGGTTAAACCTGTCTCTAGCGCTGCAGTGCTTAGTAAGAAGATATATACGGTATTTAAGCTTCTTGCTAATACGAAGATAGAACCCGAGCGAGTACTAACGTAGGCAAGGGCGTTGATATAGGAATTCTATAGCTCTCGAGTTTATTAATAGGCCTGCCTACGTACGTTCAACAAGCAACTATAGTACGTTGCTACGTACGTCGAGGGTACTTTCGAATATCGCCTTCGGTTTATAGCTATAGTCTAGAGCGATAACAATACTAATAATACCTTTGACCGTAATATAGCTCGTATTGATCTTCTACGTATATAGCGTTAGAGATAGCTAGTACGTATTGCAAAGGCGGAGGCTGCAGGTAGACGATACTTTATTATAGTAATTCTACGCGATAGGGTTCTAAACGTCGATCTGGATACTACGAGGCCTTACAAGATCAGACTTACTAACTCTAATAAGGAAGATATAGATAAAGAAGAAGAGCGTCGCTCCGCCGTAGTACCGGAAATCCTACGCCTTCTACAATAGGCCTGTTCTATAAACACTAATAATACTACTGTCTTTACAGATATAAGCTTACTAAAATATATAGACTAAGAACTATATACGATTATGTATCACTTTCATTTATAAGGCATTCGACCGTAGGGTTGTTGTATTAGTCTAGTATGTATATAATGTATTAATCAACTATCTCTCGGAAGCTTTTAGGGGATCTTATTCTGCTCTCGAACTTTATAGCTAATAGTAATAAGATAGTCCTTGTAGTCTTGCTATATCTCTAATACAATCCTATTATAGAGCTTATCTATCTTACGCTCTTGCTTTGCGTAATTCGCGGTTGATTAGCCTAATCTACGCTAGTTGAACATATCGTCGCGCTGAGGTATCAATATATCCCTCTCTATCCGGCGGAGCTCGTCCTTAAAGAGGTTATTATTAGCGTTAGCCCTTCCGATAAAGTTGTATAGTACTACTAGGGTATACACTAGCTATATTTGCGTCTGCATCGAGTACTTTAGTCGTTTCTCGAGTATATAGAATCGTATTTTTAGTACCCCGAACACTCGCTCTACTATATTACGAAGCGATAAATAGCGGAGGTTAAATAGCTCTTTCTCGTCCGTTAGGCGTAGATCTGCCTAAGGGATACTACTACGCTTAGCAGCTACTACTAGCTACATCTATTCCTTAAGATAATACCTTATACTACCTGCGAATAGTAATATAGTTATATCGGACGAGATATACCTAGTATCCGTAACGTAGTACTTGTTCTTTAGAATGTTCGTACTAAAGCCCTCTATATCCCTAGTATACCTAAGTACTGTAATATTAGCTATAGAGCCCTCCTAACCTATAAGGACGTAGGTAAAGAGTATATTGAAATCTACGACGGCTAAGACGTTCTAAGAGAGATCCCCCTTACGGTTTCGGTATAGCTTCGTCTCTCTAACTATATATGCTTTAATATAACTGCTATCGAGTGCACCTATACAATCCTTAAAGTATAGGTAGAATTTCGGGTTCGTTGCAATACGCTCGGGAACAGAGTCGACATTATATTCTAGCTCTCTTACAACCTCTGGATATATTGAAAGGAGTGCTGTTATTATAGTATAAAAACTGTCGCTAATAGTCCCTAGGGGTCTCTAGAATAGAGCTCGTACAGTACGATATCTACTACCTTGTCTAACAATATACAGAAAATACAATAGTTTCTCTACGGCTATAAGGGTACGCTCTGCCTCTAATCTATAGTCTATTAATCGTTCTAGTAATAGATCAAACGTCCGTCTGTTTATATAGAATATATTATATAGCTCTTACCTCCTCTCTAGAAAATATACTGTCTACTAGGTACTATAATCACTCTCTTTCTAGGGTGCCCGAGAGAGCTTTTCGTCGTAGTATACGACGGCGGTAGCGGCGGCGGCGGCGATAAGGACTACGGCTTCTTCGTCGTCGGAGTCTATTATAAGCAATATTTAATAACTTTTGATAGTAGGTACGCTTACGGGGGTATACTAGGCAATACGGATATATAGAGAACCTATAGAAGGTACCGAGCAATATAGCTAGATAGTAGCATTTGTAGAAACCTGCGGACATGTACTCTAGGATACCTAAATAGGCAAGCCGGCAACATGCTACAGGTTAAGAACCTGCGGTAGTAGGTTGTTAACCTGCCGCCGCAGGTTAATAGGTTTAAGAATATATAGCAGGTAGATAAAGCTGCCAAAGCGTTTAATAGATTAAGACTATAAATATATAACCGTCAAACACGTTCAATACGTGCCAAGTTACCTGCGGTAGGTTACGTAGCAGGTCGGCGATACCTTATTGAACAGGCCCTTAGATATTAACAGGGAAATGTCGTCTGTTAAGTCGTATTTCCTCGGGCTCGCTATTGGATCACTATTTTAGCGTAGTCGGCACGGAACGACCTCCGAGCCTTCCGAGATATAGCGTAGGTCAAGTAGGGAGTACCTCCTTAAGACCAACTATTCCTAATAAAAGTACAGTATATATAGGGATAGAAATTCTGGAGAGCGTATGTTCTATATATATATAAAAGGAAAAAAAGCCCGTATAGCCGTAGTAGTAGCCGCTTCGCCTTGGCGGTAGTCTTTACAACACCCTACCTTACCGCCTAACTACTTACCTACCTGCTTACCTACCTGCCTAGCTGCCTAGTTGCCTGCCTATCTGTCCCTACGGGCTACTTTGCCTATAATTCAGAAGAGAAGAACTAAGAGAAGGACAAGGACAAGGACAAGGACAAGGACAAGGACAAGGATAAGGACAAGGAGGAGGAGGAGGAGGAGGAGGAGGAGGAGGAGGAGGAGGAGGAGGAGGAGGAGGAGGAGGAGGAGGAGGAGGAAGAGGAGGAGAGAGAGAGAGAGAGAGAGAGAGAGAGAGATAT